AGCCTGAACGCACGGACTTTTGTCCCCATGTTCGTTACCGACCTACAGTGTGGGCTGTCTCCCACAATGTCGCCGTCAGAGCATAGAATTGCACCATGACCTGAAGCAGATCACGCTCTGGCGGCCTCGCCGAAGATACAACAGAAAGCGTTTTGAGATGGCTTCAAAACCCATGCAAAGCCAACACCGTTAGTTTCAATATTGCCTGAAAGTGTATGCAGCCAGCCTTGTGTGGACAATGTACGTCAGTTCCAGGTTGTTTGTAATGCCGTGTAGAACCTATTCTGCGTGGGGTCTATCTTGGGCATGCCTTGTACGCCTACCACAGCTTGTTGGTCCCACGAATATCTTCGTGCTCGAGGCATGCGTTAGCTAGTAATAATAAGCTTGTAGATGCCGCAAGGGAGCAAATCCCCCGCTTCTAGAAGTAACGGGTGATTGTGGAGTGCAGAATCCTTTTGGACGTGCCATTTGCTATGCCGAGAATGCTACGCTGCACAACGGGCGATCAGCTTCCAAACTTAGAGGCAAATGTTGTTCCTTGGGCCGAGGGTGACGACTCTGCACGCTCACTCGCTGCTGTGGCAGCCCACCCGACATTGTGCATGGTGGCTGACATCCTGGTAGAAGATATACGATTCGAGGCCAGATAATTGCATGTATGTCGCCCATGTGCTTGGAATTGGCCTCAAACTGATAGCAAGCAGTCGAGGTGGGTGGTGAACTCGAGAAGGAATAGGTTCTGGTTCCAGCTCCAGCTCCAGTTCCATTTCCAAATCCAAACCTAAAGCTAAAGCTCCATCCGCTGTGGCCACTACCCGCTCAAGCAGCTGCAGGGGTTCAAGGGTCCTCCAAGATTCCCAATGCGTGCAGCAACTTGCTAAATGCGCCCATGTTCTGAGCACCAGGCCTGGATGAGCTTAGCACTATGCAAAAATGCCCCATCGAGGAGCCTTGTAGGCCTCAAAGTTAAAATTCGAATGCACGAAAAGGCTGCGGTCGCCCAAGCCAGCACTCATGAATATTGTGAGGAGTGACTTGAGGCATCGGAAAGGTGGCTTGAGATGCCTGTCGAATTCGAATGTCCCGAGCCGTAGCGTCCTGCACCCAAGATTCCCTCTGTCCCAATAGATTTTGGGCAGGCTCTGCTGTGTTACCTCCCAGCCTGGTCTTGCTCACTATAAAGCTGGCCCGGATCCCACGCGCACATTCACTTCCTCCCATCTTACCTTTTACTCCCTCGTCGTATGAATATATACCGTAACGATGGTGGAGAAGGACACTTATAACGTCGATGAGTCGTACAACGGCGTCCATCCTCAATATGTTGATGAGAATGGCATTGAGTCCAAGCAAGGCCGCATTACTGAAGCTGCCGCGCTGTACGGCGACATCCAGACCGCAGAAGAATTCGGCTATGTGACCAGAGGGTATGTTTTGCGGAATTCAAGAGTTGATGAGAGCTCGTCGCTGAGAATTATCCAGATTGAAATCCAGACACATCCAATTCATTGCCCTAGGAGGTACCATTGGTACTGGTCTCTTCTTAGGTATCGGCAGCGCCTTCACGCGTGCTGGTCCCCTTTCTGTACTTTTGGGGTACAGCTTCACCGGAATCGCTGTTTTTGCCATGATGCAGTGTTTGGGTGAAATGGCGACTTGGCTTCCTCTCCCAGGTTCCATTCCCCAGTTCTGCGCTCGTTATGTCGATGATGCTCTTGGATTTGCCGTCGGTTGGAACGTGAGTACTCCTCTTCTAATTCAACCCCCACATTATGTGGCGCCCTGTTGTTACTCAATTCTCGTGAGATCCAAGAGCTAACCAGGTGACCCGAACAGAACTGGTATGCTTCTGCCATCACACTCTGTGCCGAAATTTCTGCTGCTTCGATCGTCATAAACTATTGGGAAGGAGCGCAACACATCAACGTTGCGGTATGGATTTCGATCATTATCGTCGTTGTGGTCTGCTTAAATATCTTCGCCATCCAAATATATGGTGAAGCAGAATTCGTGTTTGCCAGTGTCAAGATCATTACTATTGTTGGTCTTCTAATCATGGCATTCATTGTTGATCTCGGTGGTGGACCAAACCACGATCGGTTGGGTTTCCGTTATTGGAAGCATCCTGGTGCTATGAAAGAGTACGACTCTACTGGGGCCACTGGCCGTTTCCTGGGTCTCTTCTCCGTCTTGGTGAACGCGGCTTTCTCTTATGGCGGTGTCGAGCTGGTTGCTGTCGCAGCTGGTGAGGCCGAAAATCCACGCAAGAACATCCCCAAGGCAGTCCGCAGAGTCTTCTGGCGTATTCTGTTCTTCTATGTTCTTGGATCTTTGGCCATCGGTGTTCTTGTCGCATCTGACGACCCACACTTGTTGAAGGCCCAGGAAACCGGTGCTGCAGGTGCCGCCCAATCTCCATGGGTCATTGGCATCCAAAATGCTGGAATTCCAGTTCTCCCATCCATCATCAACGCTGTCATCCTAACTTCGGCATCATCGTCTGCCAACGCCTTCTTGTACACCGGGTCCCGTTACCTCTTTGCTCTCGCACAGAACAGACAGGCGCCAAAGTTCCTTTTAAAGTGCAGCAAAGCTGGTGTCCCATATTGGTGTGTCTTCTTCACAGCCATCATTGCTGGTCTCACGTATCTTTCCGTCGACTCGAACGGCGGCGCTGCTACTGCTTTCAACTGGTTCCAAAACTTGACCACCATTGCATCCCTCTTCACCTGGTGCTCGATTTGCGTTGCTTACATACAGTTCCACAAGGCATTGAAGGCCCAAGGTGTTGACCGCAACACTCTTGTTTTCAAGTCCAAGTTCCAGCCGTACACCGCTTGGTTCGCCTTCACCTACTTCGCTATCATCATCGTCTTCAACGGTTTTGATGTTTTCGTTGGCGAGCACCACTCTCACTGGACCGTCACCAGTAAGTTTCCTCTATCACTCGCTCCTCAGGCCTCATGATCCTAACATGTTCCAGATTTCCTCACTGCTTATCTTGGCATTCCCATCTTCTTCGTCCTCTATGGATTCTGGAAGATCTTCAAACGAACTCCTTGGATCCACCCAGCTGATGCGGATATCACGACTGGTAAAGCCGCTCTTGATGCTGAGGACGGTCAATGGCCAGAGCAAATCCCACGTAATATCTTCGAGAGAATCTGGTTCTGGATTGCATAGATTGGCGAAGTGATCTCGTTGTATTCTGCTGCATCTTTGGTGTCCGTATCAAACAAACTGGCGATAATTTTGGTGATAATTTGAGATGTAAATGATATCCCCAATGATGAATGAAGATTTTGAATCTTGTTGAAATAGCATGCTTGAGATTTTCCATATCCGGTTTGTCCTCGGACGTGAATGTGAATGTATAGTACGAGGTCAATACGTAGTAGGAGCTCTGTGTACAGTTAGTCTTGAACTCTGAACATAAGAGACTGCAAGTTGATTGTACTATATTGGGATCTGATCTTTAATCCCTGCGCCGTCTTTTATGTCCAAGAACATAGTTGCGACGTGCTGTGCCTTGCCCAATGTTTGATGTGTCATCCGGTGATCGGGCCAAGACCCAATGTTGGTACTGTATCTGCGTCTTATCACCGCCAATAGGCAAACTTCATGGAGCATTTTCGACTTGCTACTCTCACACCGCTCGATATCATCAAGTTGCGAAGGAAGAATAGAAAAAAGTATATATGGGTCAAAGACGAGAAGTTCGAAGGGAAAGGCCTTAGGTTAGTAAGCTGCTGTAGCAAGGAAGGTGGGGTCTGAAGGCGGGCTATAGTGGGTCGTGAATTAGTACGCCTTCTCGCTGACATGGATTTGTGGCTGCACGTCTCTTATAATTCCTCCGTATTAGTAAGTAATACGCAGGAGAGACAACTGATTCCGCGAGACCGTGTTGCTTGTTGTATCCGAGGCTAATAAAGCCAATTCTTTGCTGAAGTCTTCGTACAGAATATATGTAATATACACAATATACAGAGAATATACAACATGACCTGGTACATTCATACATATCTCATCTCTTGGTGCGCTTCTTATTGGGAGTCTTCTTCAGATCTCCAGGCGCGTTCGCAATGTCATCCAATGCTTCCTCCTCCTCCTCCTTCGTCATACCCTCAGTAACATCGCCCTCGGGCATACCCTCAACAGCCACTTTCGCATCTCCATCGGCATTCACAGGGACTTCTCCCACATCTACCTCCTCGATCTTAACGGTCTCCGTCTTCTCCACCACCTCTCCTTCCTCACTCTTTTTGATCTTCTCCTCTTTGATTTTTCTCCCCAACGTCACTTTGCTCCTCTCGGCAGCCTTACACAAACCACTCAACCCTAATTCACAATCACCACACTTTCTTCCTACAGGGAGACAAATCGTCTGGCCAAGACCGACCATCAACCAGTTGATTTCGTGCCACAGTTCTTTTGGTAACCAAGCTTGGAGAGCCAGCCGAGTTTCTTCTGGGTTCTTGGTTTTGTGCCATCCCCACATATTGGTGATGCGGTGGACGTGTACATCAACTCCAATTCCTTCGGTACGACCCCAAGCAGCGCTGAGACAGAGGTACGCCATCTTAGGGCCTACTCCGGGCAGAGACATAAGGCCTTCAATACTGTCAGGGATGTCACCATTCCACTTATCTCTCAAAATTTCTGCCGCAGCTTTGATATACTTTGTCTTATTGTTGTGAAATCCGACAACCCATATTAACTCATTCAACAACTTCGGATCAACAGCCAGTATATTTTCCAACGTCAAGCCCTTCTCCTCGCCCTCTTTCCACGCCGGAAGTTCATTGTACAGCCTGTTCATGGCAACTGCATTCGTAGTATCTTTCGTTTGAGATGACAGCATCAGGGCAATCAGCGTATGGAATCGTTTGACCCTGGGAGTAACATGCGCTTGTGCCATACGCTCACAGCCCATCGTATCGACTGCGGCATTGGTAGCAGACCCCGTAATGCGCATTTCCTTCATAGTGGCATAGACCTCAGCCCAGTCATTGGGTGGCTGGACTTCCACTTCACCCGTCTCTTCATTCTTGATCTGACGTGCCGGCTTGCGGACTCTGGAAGCTTTCGCTGGAGATGGCGAGAAAGTGAGGGTGTCCTCGGTCTCGGTCTTGATTACCGTCTTATTTGGGGACTTCTTGATAGGCGTGCGGGGCGTAGGCTCCCTCTTGCGCTTTCGAGTCGTGGGAATAGCATCTTCGATGTCGACTGGTCCATTCGTTGCTTCGTCCGAGTCTATCAAAGAGCTTGCAAGGTTCGAGAGGGAGGAACGAGTGCTGCGGCGGCTTGAGCGTGTCGCATTGAGGAATTTGGTGGTCTCTTGCGAAAGCTTTGAAGTTCGCATGATGCAGGTAGAGCTTCGCAGCTCAGGGGCAGTTGTGGAGGTTTAGAAAAGCAAATCATGGTTGATATGGAAGAGCTCTACAAGTATGCCCCTGAATTCGGCTCGGCTCGCGCAATCGATGACCGAATGACTTTCGTCGCTTACGTACGAGCTCTAGCGTAGTCATGTTAGAGCTACTTGCAGGCTCCATCCAAATCAACTCCGGGTCTTTGTATTACTATTGGTGATTTATTTGAACGTGGATTTCAACTTGATACTTTCTCTGTGAATTGCACTCTTGTCTTTTCTCCCGTCTAGGCTTCAAAGTAAGTTGCCCCGAGATTATCCGGGTTTGAGGTCTGACTTATCTAGTCAAGTATTTGCAGGCATCTGCTAGAACTATCTCTGAGGTTCTAGCTGTTTATGTCCTTTTTATCACATTTGCCTTCACAATTATCTATTCTGAGAAGTCGAATCTTTCCCCGCATCTTCACTAAAGAGCTTGTCTTATTCACTTCTAAACAAATCGAAAGTAATGTGTCTATCGTTGCCTGTCCATGGTCAAATAGAGCATTTCATCGAGCAGTAAGAGTAGTGTTCATAGTTGTCACTTGTGCAATGCCATTAGTCTCGTGCCTAACACCTCTGTAGTCAGATACCAGAAGTATGACAACAAAGACTGGTATCATAGGAGGGGGAGTCAGTGGCCTGAGATGTGCAGACGTCCTTCTGCAGCAAGGCTTCCAAGTCACAATACTAGAGGCCAGAGACAGGCTAGGTGGCCGAAGTAAGTAACCTCTCCAATTACTGCCGATATCAAGATTGGGTGCTTTTATCGTTGTCTCCATTTCCCACTTCATACCTCATCACACTTTCTGAATACTTGGCGCTAAGACCAACCACAGTGCACCAAGACACACTGCCCAATGGCCATATAGTCGACATGGGCCCGAATTGGATCCATGGAACCGACAACAATCCAATCTTAGATCTTGCCAAAATGACCAAAACTGCAACTCACTCCTGGGCAGATGAGGCAGACGCACTCTACGATGATCAGGGAAAGCGTGTCAGCAACGCAAGCGAACTCAGTGGGACGTTCTGGGGTATTATCATGGAAGCTTTCAAGTTCTCTGAGCATCATGGAGCAACTATCGATCCATCGAGAAGTCTCTGGGATTTCTTCCTTGAGAAGGCTTCTCTGATGTCCAAGAATGATGAAGAAAAACGGAAAGCAAATATGCTGTTGCAGATAGCCGAGATGTGGGGTGCATTTATTGGGACTCCGATCAGTCGTCAGAGTCTGAAGTTCTTTTGGTTGGAGGAATGCATCGACGGTGGTGAGTACTTTCTCTTACTGTCCATGATCCTCTCGTTGCTAACTCGATCAGAGAATTTATTCTGTGCAGGCACATACCAAAATATTCTGGCGGTGATCACCAAGCATGCCAAGGAACAAGCAATAATCCATTTAAATACCAAAGTGAACAGAATTGAGACCGAAAATGGACAACCTATCCTCCATACCACAAACGGAGGATCTTTTGAGTTTGACGAGGTGGTGGTGACGGCTCCGTTAGGATGGTTGAAAAAGAACAAATCGGTTTTCAACCCAGAATTACCCAGCAGATTGACAGAAGCAATTGATGCCATCGGGTACGGCAACTTAGAGAAGGTGAGTACTTACAAACGGCACCTGAAGTGAGGATGCTAAATGTCTCCAGGTATACGTCACATTTCCTCGAGCATTCTGGCAAGGTCCCTCAGATGAACCAAACAAGGAGCCTCCCGCCGGATTCATCCAATGGCTCCACCCAGCATACTCCAAGCCGCCAGCTTCAAAAGACTGGAACCAAGAAGCAGTTGACCTCGCGACCCTCCCTGGAGCGTCTGCTCACCCAACTCTCCTTTTCTACATTTTCGGTGACCAAGGCTCTCTCATTGCCAAGAAATGGAACGATCTCCACACCGAATCACAACGGACTACCTGGCTAGCAGATTATTTCCAGCCATACATATCAAAACTTCCTCACTACGACGCAGCATCGAAAGATTGTATTCCAAGTTACTGCTTAGCGACCTCGTGGACGACCGATGATTTAGCTGGGAATGGCAGCTACAGTAACTTCCCAGTCGGTCTCAAGGAAGGAGATAAAGATATCGAGATAATGAGGGAAGGGCTTCCGGATAGAAATTTGTGGTTTGCTGGTGAGCATACAGCGCCCTTTGTTGCGTTAGGAACGGTGACTGGTGCTTATTGGTCTGGGGAAATGGTGGCGCAGAGGATCGCGAGGAAGTATGGTAAGGAGTGTGAGGTATTAGATAGCCAGAATGTTGGGGGCAGTAGTACCGGACATGATGGTGGTAAGGATGTCAATGTTCGCGGATTCGCTGATGATGGATTGAAGACGGCATAGGAGCAATGGCGTCGAGTCATGACTGGCTGGGGAGCATATTGAGTTGTACCTGGGATGATCTTGTGCGCACGGCATCAAATTTGACAAGATGGGTACGCAGTACGAAGAAAAGTAGAAGTTGGCTTACAAAAAGGATCACCACTCTGTTCAGCTTAATAAAATAGTCTTCACTCCTCGCCTCATTTCATTAGGCAACACTATAGATTGAGCATTTGAAGTGTAGAACCTTGATTTCAATTTCGGTGGTTATCTTAACAAATCGCTCAGTGGGAATCACGAAGCCTCCTATGCACAAAATCCAACGCCCCAAAAATATGCCGTAATATGCTCCGTATGTTGGCTCGCTACCTATGCCCGAAAAATCTCATAACGTCGTCAATGCTTCTTATATTTCTACGATTTAGTCAGCAAAATGAACACAAGACATCGTAGTTTAGACTTACAGCATCAGCTCTCTGTAGATTCACAGGGTCCAAAGCATTAGTGGCGCCCATCAATATCTGGCCTCCTGCCTTTGCGACCCCTATTGCAGGTCTTAATATTACAGTCGGTGCATGCTTTCGCACCGCTCTCAGCATGCCTGCTGCGTTCCCGCTCTCCATTACTTCCCCAGGTACTGCAATGATTGCATCCCGTGCAAGAACGAGATCTCTTTGTAGTCCGTTATACCCCCCTCGAAGACCTTGCAACACACCAACAGGTTGGTTGGCATACAAACTGATCTGCTTGCTCTCCTCGTCGGATTCATCGTCATCAATACCAGTCTTCTCTACAGCAGGACCAAGGAAGTCTTCAGCACCCTGTAAAACGGTCTGAACACCGATTGCAACCTTTGCGCCCAATTTGACAAGCTCGGTCCCCGTCGTCCTAGCAAAAGCTGCTGCACCTTTCGAAATCCCTCTCACTACGCGGCCGTCTTTCTTATACTCTCGCATTGGAACGACGAAGAGATGTCGGAAACCTTCGCCAACGTTCACAATCGACCTTACTGGTGCCAATCCAGCAAGAATTCCAGGAAGCTGATTCCTCTTGATGTCAGGCATCCAGATGTCGTTCAGACATTTTCCAAGCTTGTCGAAACCAGATATACCATAGATGATTGTGTGTCGCAAAACCATGTCCGCCTCATCTAGAATCAGAAAGTTCATGAATTCTGTCGTGTGGCCTGACCTCAGACCGGCATAATCGACGCGTTTAGGCTTGAAGTCTAACTTGACTTGGACAGAGTTCACTTCGACTCTCTGAAGGAATGGCACATCACCTGGAGATGGTTCTTTCGGCGTTGAATCATCTTTGAACTCGAAGAACCGTGTGATGAAATCGAGGGCATCTTGGTCGACATGAAGTCGAAGAGGAAGGACAGTCGCCTTGAGAACGATCTCAGACGCCGCTAGATCGGGTATTGGTTTCACATTGAGAATTTCAATGTGAATCATGCTAGTACCTGTCTCCCTTTCCCCGGCATCTTGCATGTATGTGGCAAATTTCCTCCAAGTTGAGGTCGGAACATGATCAAAGATCTCGAAATCTCGGACCCGAATGTCAACCGAGCTCTGTGTCTCGCCACTACCTGGAGGAAATGCCACAAGATCTACATTAACTCCTCGGAGCTCGAAGGTAATCTTGTGGTGTTTACTTCTATGTAAGCGTAACTTTTTGGTTCTAGATTTGCGTCCACTGCCTTGTCGACTTGGAGAAGTAGATACCGCTGTAGTTGCAATGGATTCGGTTTCTGTCGCATTATCGTTCAACTCCTGATTGATTGCAGCAGCAAGTTCGCGCGGGTCACGATTTGCGGGGATACCAATGTAGATCGAGTTGAAAAGAAAATCGCCAATAACGGTCTCTTCGTCGTCAACGTCTTGCTCGAAGGTAGGTCGTCGTTCGCTCCGAGCTCGTTTCTCTATTGCTTTCGACTCGACATCTTGCACAGCTTTAGATATAGTGTCGCGAGTGTGTTGCCAGTCGTAGCCATCAAATAGGTTCCAGATGATATGGACGTCACGGATACAGACTTTTAGGGGGCTTCTGCGAATTTTGGAGATGTTCGACCTGTCATAGGTGTTCTTGGCCGAGTTCCACCTGTGAGCTGTGCCTTCCAAAATCGATCCAGTGCCGAAATGATCTTCCTGAAACTCCAGCTCTTCATTCTCTGGTTCTTGTCGTGGTTCCACAAAACTCTCTAGTAGAACTCCTTCTGGAGTATCGCGAGAAGTCAACTTAGTTGAGCTTGATGATCCCACCTCGCCATACTGATCGTCTCTCTCGTTCTGGTAGTAGTCTGAGTCGAAATCGAGATCATCCGTTTCGTCACCCAAAAGTTCTCCTTCCAGGCCGTCTCCAATTCCGAAATCATCGTCGAAATTGTACTCTCCCTCTGCAGTACCAAAAGCATCTCCTGACAATGATGCAAGCAAATCATGTACTGGAATAACCTTCGTACGGTATTTCATCGCCTTATTTGGAGGAGTTGGAGGTGAGAGCCCATTCATGACGGCAATAAGAGTTTGAGTGGAGTCGGCGCAAGATTCGAGAACAAAGAGGTCATCTCGAAGCTCAACGTCGATGGATCTTTCGCCTTCCTCGCTCGTGAGGATTTGCACGATGGCTTTCGCTGACGATATGTAGCTGACAGAAACGTATCCCGTTGCGCAGAGATCAGCTACCTGTGTGCTGCCTCCGTCAAAAGAGGTTCGGCGAGACCTGATGTTGGTGTCGGCAGTAATAAGATTCGCGACGTTGTCAATCACGAGCACAGATGCCTTACCCAGGTCTGTTGAAAGGTTTGCGTTTCCATCCTTAGGAAGAAGTGCGTTCAGATGCGCTTCCGTCATCACGACAAGTACTTTCGATGGCAATCCTAGAGGATTGAGACCAATGATGCAGTCGCGAATGACAATATCTACTGTCATAGGCTTCGACGTAGAGCTCACAGTTCCGCCAGGAATGTCTTGCCTCATCTGCTTAGACTTGGGTCGGACGAGGTCTGTCAATGTAGCAACTGATCCAGCCAGACTCGCTGATATATCCTGAGAAGTAGCATCGTCCGCTAGCCCAAGCAGAACCATCAAGGTCGGTACTCTGTACTCAACTTTCAGATTCCACACTTTGACTCTTACTACTGGCTCCATCTCATCACCAATCATTCTTGCCATGAGCATTGGAGATCTCAAACTTGGCTCTCGCAATTCCGGATCTGTTGCAATACCAAGTAGAAGCTCAGTAGTGTTGCGACGTGCTGATATGTTACCAATGCTGAGGGCGACGAGTGCTGGTAAGGTGATTTGAGCGACTTCTATATCTGATGACGAGAGCTGAACCGTCCCTAGATCGTTCTCAAAGTCGACATGTGCTTCAAACTTTCGCAGCGTGACCAACGACAACAGTCCAGGTCGTTCGTCGTCCGGTAGATACTTCGCAACAGTTGCTAGTCTTGAAACCTCTTCTCCCAATTCCGGCAGATGATTCAGTTCGTGTAATCTGCCGACCCTGGTTTGAACATCGTCCACGGTAAGCCTCAATACAGCACCCTGCTTACGTTGTCGTAACAGGGTATCAAGCAGAATGTCATCATCCTGGTCATACTTGGCTTTGGATGGGGTGATGAGGGCAAGGAGTCGATCTAAGTCAGCATCCTTGGGGGACATCAGATACTCAATACGAGTAGATGTGATATCCACACTGATGGGCGGCTCGTCGTTTGAGTGCTTCAGATGTGGACCAGACAGACGGGTCTTCTGAATAGAAAGTCCAACACCTTCGTCTCGACTGACCACTTTCACGGCCGACGTTTCTATCCCAATGCTGCATTCAGCACCCACTAAATCTAGTATAAATCCTCCAATTCGTACATCTGCCTTGTTCTGATTGGCTACAGATTTGTCGTCTGGTCGAATTGGCGCCTCGAACCGGACTCCTCGGGGTTTAGGTTTGCCAGGGCTTGCAGTGATCGTTGCATTGGAGGCCATGGAACTGCCCAGATTCAGTACGCTGCTCAGACCTCCGAACCAGCTGAAAGTCTCATCAAGCTTCTGAAGGTCTATGGATACGTGAAGTGGTAGTGTCACAACCTCGCACCGTGTAATTTCTGTTGTTTGCATTATATTTACGGATATATCGATACCGTCTGAGGCCTTCAAATCCCGGACGGAATTTCGCATTTGAAGACTGGCATCAAAGGAGATGATATTTTCTCTCGCGTAGCCAAAGACGAATTTCTCAAGGGTTATCGACGTAGTCGTAGTTGAGGCTGTGATATGAGACTTAACCTGCAGACCACTAAAAGTTGTTCGCAACAATACATCTGCAAGTGATGGCGATGCTGCAGGACCACGAGAACCCAATGTACCTTCAAGCCTCTCAAGAAACAGAATAGAAATGTCTTGAACGGAAAACTTGAAAGACTTTTCTGGAGGAGCTGGCCCGTTCGAAGTACGATTTGCCGAGGTAGGCTTCATGGCTTCCTTGAGTTGCTGGGTAAGTTTGAACATAAGTCTCCCAACCGATATATCGAACTGGGCCACTACATTTCCTATCATTACTTCGGTGGAAGTATCTTTTGCTTCTTCCTCCTGGCCAACAGCGGCTGGCTCGGGTACTGGTACGCTCTGCCTTGTTGCTGGCCTTTGAGTCGGGAGATGGGTAGAAAATGCTCCTGGCACATTTGCAGATGTCGACTGTGAGACTGAACTCTGGACGCTGTATGTACTATAAGACATGGAACTAGGAGCGGCATGATCTGATTCGCTAGGAGAAGAAGTAGGGAGTGCTGAGGGTGCGTAGATATCAACCCGATCAATAGTAAAAAACTGTTTACTCAAGCGAGAGTAGTCATCCGAAGAAGTAGCAGATCGTTCAGAGGAATCGCTAGAGCCTTGAGGTATAGCTGGAATTTGGTGACTGTCAGCGACTGTAGGTGTCGAAAACGAAAGGCGTCGAGGCGTAGCGGGATTTTCAGCGTCGATCGTAGAGCTCTGTCGTAGATTCTCGAGGGCTAGTTCAGATTGTTCTGGGACTATATGTCGGGCATGCTCCAGGTTATCCAGCGGTTCCCCATGGCCGACGACTCTCGGGCTTTCTGGTGGTGATCTTGAGCCTTCACTTCCGCTATTTGAATTTGACCAACCGCCGGGCAATTTGGAAACTGAAGAAGTGTGCGAGACAGCGCTCATGTACATACTCTCTGCATCCTCATGGCTAAATAACTGTGATTGCGTAAGATCTTCTTCACCGGGAGGCGTGGATGCAGTCTCGAGGTCTCTGCCAGCGCTCGCTGATGCATCACCTAGGTTGGGACTTTGGGATAAGCGTTGAGCGCCAGTGGGAGGTGGATTCAGACCAGCAGGAAGAGTGGGCTGCGACTGAGAGATTCTCTTCTCTGAAAATCTTGGGCGGGTTCTGTTTGGCAATATGGTTGATTGCAAGACTGGACTAGTTGGGGACTCGTCAAAGACAGTTGTGGTTGGTAGATTAAACGTCTGGGGCATCACCGGTATATGTATAGATGCTCGTGGGGTGGAATAAGGTGATGATGGTTGGATGCTATTCTGGAGGTTACGAGAAGTTGACAAGAGGCCAGATTCTCCATTCCCGTTCTCGTCGTCGAGGTACTGGCTCTCGGTGACTTGGTCAAGATAGGCTGAATCTTCAAAAACACTGTCACTCATCTCATTCAAGGCTTCGTGAGCGCTAGCTGAGATATTAGAAGTTGAGTCGTCTTCTGGAGCGTCGTCAAATCGACCATTATCACTAGCAATAGTTGAGGCCCGCAGAGAGTCGGATCCGAGAACACTCTTGTGGGGAGAAGCTATTGAGAGGCGACTTGATGATATGTCAGAAGAGCTATCGGGCGACGAGCCCCTTTCAGATGTTTGCATCATACTGCTTCTTGTGCTAGGAATAGCTTTGGAAGCTGGACGTCGTCCTTCGGATGCTTCTGAGTACGCAGCCAGTGGGGAAGAGAGAGCAGATGATCTTGATAGGCTGGTAAAGAAAGCAGCTTCCGATATCAATGTACCCCGGATTTGCGAAAGACTAATCAGTTTCTTCCCCCTTTTATATGGAGGCTTTTGAGTTCGGACCCCAGCCGCGGATTCGTTCTCCAGTTCAACTGTGACGCCCTGGATGTCGATATCGTCAACCTTGAGAGAGATTGTGACAGGATCGGGAGGATTTGCTGACGAAAGTCTTGAAGCTTCATTTGGGAGATCAATATCCAAGTTGAAAATAACGCCTTGGATTCGAACTTGTAATCGATCCAGCATACCCTGCAGGAATCTGCCCATAAAGGTGGGTAGAGATAAGGCAGCACCTGTTCCTACTGGAATGTCTCCATCCTCGCTCAGGACTGAATTTGTTCCGAAGTCCTGCGTTTCGGACAAGAGTGCAGCTTCTAAGTCGGCCTTTTCTTCCTCTGGTTCTGTTTGTAGGAAGGACTGTGCCAAGTCAACGGCAGATGGGATGGTCGTTCCTTGCTCATGCTCTTCCAAAGAATCATGTTCGCGTGTACGGTCAGACCTTGTATGCGTACTTGAGCTTGAGGCATTCTTCGAGGCAGGACGTTTTCGTTTCCGATCGTGGTCTGTCCGATTCGTTTCTGTTGGAGATGTGACTCGTAGCTGGGTCTCCACCCCTTCCACTTCAACTAGTATTGCACTACTATAGAGGTCGACTGGAATAGTGACCCGGAGCAGTAAGACTCGGGCTTTGAGGACTTCTATTGTAGGGGGTAGTTGGAGTAACGTCTGTAGTTTCTGAGAAGCATATAAATTAGTATCAACAGCAGCAACTAGCAGGACAACTGCATACCTTCAAGCGTAAACCAACATCCCGGAATTCGAAAGTGGAATTTCTCCCCAATGCAATGTCCAAGTTATCCAAGCCCAACGCATCAGTGTCGAGGATCTCAAGCTTCGAAAGCGCATATTGAAGAAGGCGCTTCGGCATGGAGGATGCTTGGAAGTAGGCTTGCAGATAGGACGCCATGATTGCAAGGGAGCTTGAATATACTTCAAGTAAAGGTATAACCGGTCTGTCTCGTGATGTAGTAACAGGTTCGGGGTCCTGTGATGAATCAAGAGGTGCGCCTCCTCCTGATCACGATGGCCGCGTGCACAGTCTCAAGCGCAATGCTAGGTTGGCTTTTCATATCGGGGAAAGGATAGAGAAAGGGACTTGCTGTAGAAGTTGAGCTGTACGAATGTTCGACGCCATTTGTCGTGGGAGGACCTCTGAATGCCGGGAGTTGAAATGCTGGCAGAGCATCATAACGAAAGGTGCCCGCGTTTCTCCTTATCGATAAGACACTACCTAGCGGTACGGTCGTTCTGGGACACGTAGGTATACACATCACGACATTCAGCTGCAAACTTTAACAGCACCGATGAACTTATGATAAATAAAAGTATAGAATGAATATTAGAATACCCTTGGAAGTCCATTTTTGTCCATGATAACTTCATTGATTGCTGTGTTCGCTAGTCACGTGATACGACCCATCGTCATCAACCTGGAAACATCGCCATCTTTCGAGCCTAGACCGAACGTGTTCGTGGAAATTTGCATGTAGGCGACAGACTTCTCACGAAGGCGAGTCATCATTCAAATTGAGATCATGAGTGTTCCTCTCGCATGAGGCTAGAAGGGCGAGCGGGAAACGTGGTGGTGGACCTAGGACGATATTAAGACGGGGTTGGTCTCTCCTTCTTCGGTGTGCCATCTCGTCTCAGGAAGGAAGCAATCAAAACCGAAGCATCCGGCAAGGAAGGTATGGCCTAACACCGGAATGGGAAGATGAGAAGAGGAACATCAAAATGACCAGAAATCATGTAGCACTCGATAAATGACAATGAATAATAGCTCTCTCCGAGTCTCCCACTGGTACTTTTGTCAGCGTGATCTGATTGGGCTTCGATTCCCTTTTTTTTGTTTTCTGGTGCACCGCACCGCACCGCACCGCGCACCTCAGCTCTGGCAATTTTCCCTACTACTTCACCTTCACACCGCGCGAAAAAAAAGGTTCCAAGCCAACACAATGGTTTCTGCAATCAGCCAGCGTCAAAAGCAAGGCTTCTCCCACAAATTAACTCCATTCCCTCCATAACGATCCCACCACCAGAACATCACCGCATCCGTCACAGCCATACATCCATCTCTTTCGCCCAACGCGTCGACACTTTGTCGAAAGCCACCGTGCATCATCTCACGTTAGGAGATTCTCAAGGGCTCGGCGATTACGACAGTCACCCTACGCTGAAAACCTCCTGTCTTCCCATCTCTTCCTCCCATCCACCATCATCATCATCATCACCAACTCCACGATGGCTTCATCAAATCCTAAACCCGCTGCCACCGCCGGCGCTCGACGAAAATCCTCGAAGGGCACCATGATTGTCACTTTGAAACTGTCCTCTAAACTCCTTCAGAGATTTGCGCCCTCTGTCAAGGAGGAATCGCCATCCAAGGAATCATCGTCGACGATCTCGAACACACAGCCTGTCGCAGACAATCCGATCGAGTCGCTATCAAATACACCCGTCGCCAACGGCACACCTGTCCCGTCGTCGATGCCTCCTCCAACTGAGGGCGTCAAGAAGAAGGGTGTCAAGAGGAGCTCAGGTGTGGCATTAGATGCAAATGGCCAGCCCAAGCCTCGAGGCAAGCCTGGTCCGAAGAAGAAGGCAAGATTGTAAGTGCTTGATCTCCATCTCTTGTCGCATCTACGCAGCTGCAGACATCCAGGAATAGAAGGCCTCACGGTCGCACAGCTTGAAGGATCTCGGCACAAAGCCCTCAATTACATTACTATACTAACTTTCCTGCTTCAGGGAGGACGGCACCATCGACCATTCAAGCACAGCACCACGGGGAACCACAACTACTGCTCATAAGCTGGGGCCCAAAGCCAACCAAGGTGCCATCAACGCAGGCCTTCGGGCCCTTGACCGAACAGGCAAGCCTTGTCGCAAGTGGCAGAAGGGCAGCTTCAAGCTGAAGAGCTTCACTGGAATCATCTGGGAAATTCCGCGATGGAAGGCTCCACCAAAGATCACCGTCGAGGGAACCTCTGAAGGATCTCCTTCTGGAGAGAGCAGCAAGGAGAACAAAGACAATAGCCAGCTTGAAAGCGAGAAGAGCGAGAAGAGCAACAATGGCGTCGATGTCGAGTTGGCGAGCAACTTGGTCTCTTCCCCTGTCCCATCAAATCCTCCCGCTGCCCCAGCAGCACCTGCCGTCGCTGCATCTGCTTGAGAACTTCTTTCGACTGAACCGCATAGCATGTATTATTACATATATCACAGCATGGTGCTTTACTCAGTGGACATCTGTCTCGTACAATGAAGAAGTCATCTGGGTTGGCTCCGACCAAAAAGCTTTAGAGGCGTTAGTGGGTCTATTCTTGCTGTAGGGTCTTGATATGCAAGGAAAAGAAAATGGCGTTGGGTCTCGGATTTTCGTGGAGGGTCTGTTAAGCGATCATGGCTGGCGTTCTCTTGAGGGTGGGATTGTATTATAGTACAGCATCGGTGTATTATTGCTCTTTGAATGAAAGGCACCTCGATGCGGTGGTCTTTCAACCTCATTCTGCGTCTATTGGTGATATGGTGACATACTGGCTGAAAGTACCAATATTTATGACGAGACCAATACAACAGGTGCTAAAGAGAGTGTTGAGGTCGAACTTGAATCGGGCTTCCACATTCGAAGAACAGATTCCGATCAGCACACATTCAAGAATAGGTCTCGATTGCTAGGACTCGGCAAGCAGTCTATGAGTGCACGTACAGAGAATATGTTCGTCTCTGGCGAAGATGTGAACATACTCGTTTTGATAGCCGCCACATGTTATGCACGATTTTCACGACCAAGTACAAGGACGAGAAAGTTCAAGTATGCTGTCATTCATTTGATCTGATTTGTCTTGGGGTGAAGCCCGTTTCTTGAGTTTGGAGGAAGTCCTGCCAGCCTGGAGCCATGATTTGAGCGAGCCAAATCTTGGCACATCCACATTTTACTCCAGTAATCAGAAGAAATACAAGAATTTGACTATTTTCCAGGAATAATGAACCTTCAGACATATGATCCTAAATCGTCGTGCTGAGAAATTGGCTGGTCATTCTCACTGTCTCGTGACAAGTACCTTCTCCCCACCTTTTTCAGGTTGTCTCAAATGAGTCTAGTCGCTTGTAGCTCAGCGCCTGGCATTGCGTCTATCATCGTTGTTCACTGATACACCCATGCTTCCAATCTGGACCTCGAACGAAAGAACAAGTCATATAATGGACTCGCATGCAGGACCCAAGCTCTGGTAGAGCTGGCAAACCATCTCCTTACACATTCACACCATATCCTGGCTATGAACGCATATTCACCACATCATAGACTCCCCACCTTAGTCCGGTCATCGATACACTGAAAGCCAGATATAAGGGCGGGACTTTATTTATATTCACGAATCCGAGACCACTCTCGAAGATACACTACACCAATCTTCGCAAAAACACCGCCTGCAAAGGACAGCATCCTACAACTACGAACGCTTGGACATCTTGAGATGACGAACTCGTACCCTTCGGGCTCACCGGGGGTTCCAGATTCGAGCATGCCGACTGGAGCTCCCGGATTCATGCCTCGAAGATCCTCGTATGCTTCAGTCGTTTCTGGGACGGCATCGGGAGCTCCATATCAGCAGCCAGCTCGGTCTGGCGCATTCTCACACCTTCTCAACCAGAACGCGGACTTTAGCTATGATCCTAGCTACCAGAACTTCGGCGGGCACCAGCGATACGATCACCGCACGTATGATATGGATTTCCACACAGGGGGGAGCTCTCATGGGCGTTCGGGGTCATGGGGTCGTGGCGGACAATTACACCCGTTTTCGAGTGCATTCGCAGCGGTAGTGAGTGGAAATGGATATGGAAATTTCGGCGGAAGCAGCACAGAGCAGTTCTTCATACCATCATATCTGAAAGGGTCAAGATATCTACAGAGGCTAGAGGAGGCACACAAGGCGAAGATTGCAGCGCAGAAAGACAGCCAGTCTGCTCCATCCTCACAACCTGGTTCGCTCTCTACAAGTGCAAGCAGTGTAAATCTGCATACGAAGATGGCTTCCTCGTATCGGGGTATCGCACATGATGTGATTGAAAAAGCACCGCCTTCAAAAGACGAAACTCTGACCCCTCTACCTTCTAAATGGAATAGCCTGGATAAGTACGGAGGTTTAGAGGTATTGAACGATGGTATGGAAGTGAAGTTCTCAGGGCCAAAATCTGAAAGGGACCGAGATCATGAAGCGTGTGCCATCAGGGCAGACCATCCTATGCCATCCCAGTGCGGAATCTACTACTTTGAGGTCGATATTGTCTCGAGGAAAAGAGAAGAGTATATCTGCCCATCTACATGCCACATATTTGACTATCTCTAACACACTCCGTAGAAGCTCTATTGGTATTGGTTTCTCAACCAAGAACGTACCATTATCAAGGTTGCCCGGATGGGAGCCAGAGTCATATGCGTACCATGGGGACGACGGTCACTCATTTTGCTGCCAGAGCTCAGGCAAGCACTACGGACCACCTTTCAATTCCGGAGATGTGATCGGCTGCGGAGTGAATTTCCGAACAGGATGTGCTTTTTTTACGAAGAACGGTGATCATCTAGGTAAAGTTACTTTCACTTCTCTTAGTAACGCTTGCTAAACTCTATTTCAGGTACCGCTTTCCGCGATATCAAGGAAAATAAAGGGAAGCTCTTTCCTTCCGTAGGTATGAAGAAAGCGGGCGAGCATATAAGAGTAAATTTCGGGCAAAGACCATTTGTCTTTGACATAGATGGCATGATGTCGGCAAGTAATACTTTTTCTTATCCCCATTCCCCACTTCGTAGCGATATACCAGGCAATGGCTCCAACAATCAAGAAAATGGAGCAGATGCCGCTGGAGCTCCGGAATCATCCTTAGAAGACGAAAATACGGCATCTATCCAGGAACATTTTATCCACCGAGAAGTAGTTCCGCCTCCTCTTCTACCCCTAGAAGCAATTCCAACTGGTCTGTCGATCCATAAGAATGAAGGGCAGGCCCTACCAGCTGTCACTGAACATGCTCCGACTGCTGAAGCTACCGATGACCCCGGTGTCATCGACACCTCAGCCAACAGCGCGAACCATTCTAGCACCCCTGAGATTGTCAACGACAGAGCTACGAGTCCAGCACGAGAGGAAACGCTTGGACCTTTCAACACTTATGATCAAGCTCGGGCAGCAGGTCGGATACGCCAGCTCGAGGCCAATAGTGGCGAGCTGGACAGCTCTACAGCACGACCGTATATCACTCTCAATACATTTCGAACACGGCGAGGTTATGAGACGAGGCTCTATACATGGCATCATGCCTTGGAGCATCCAACCATCAGACGTATCTCTTCGGCCTCAAATGCAACAGTGACTCCAGCAACTGCGGATCGAAATATTGGAAGTGCATTGCTGCAGCCTACTACAGTGACCGATCTATCCCTCGTATCTCCACTAGACTCTCCACCTCCTCTGATACCACTAGATGGTCATACACCAACATCATCTGGTCGTGGACCCTACAGACAAGATCTCGATAGTTCAAACGGCTTCAGCCAATTCCCTAGTTGGGGTTTCGCAGAAACAAGTAACCATCCGTCTGGGCCATATCTCAGTGATCTTGACAGTCTTCAGACAGCCAATGAAAACCAGATTCGACTACTACGTGGTAACACTGCGACTTCTAATTCTGTCCTGTCGAATGCAACGCGCGATTTGACAGAATCAGCCAGTCCCAGGAATGGTACTTATATCTCTGCGGTTCGGCTGTCACGCCGTGAACGTCGTCCAACCATTACATATCAAGAATTCTTTTCCGGAACCCAATCTCCAAGACCGCGGAGAACACAAGATCGCTCAAATCGTCCACTTGCGCTACCTTATTATCGCCATTCATTCACAAGTCGGAATCCACGTCAGCCGCCTCCAAGCAATGCCATTGAGTCTCAAAACTTCCTTGGTATCAGTGGTGAACGACCTCGGAGGAGTCTGCACTCACGGCTGAGTTCTGCCTATGATGCACTTTCTCAAGTCTTGAATGAATATAATGGCCCCGTTCACACGTTTGATCTTTCTGGATCAGGCTTGTTTCATCCTCTTACATATCGGGAAGAGCAGACAGCTTTGGCCCAAAATGGCCACCGAGTCTTCCATGGCCCCGATTCAGAGATTCGACAATCTACTGCCAATCAAAACGGACACAGCCATGTTACTTCTCCCCCGAACATCACTACAATAATAGGCCAACAATACTCGACTGCTCAGAACGGGGTTGGTCGCTTTGTTCAACATGGCCAAGGCGCACCTCACCAGCCCTCTTCAGAGAATCCACGAGCTCCAGGAAGCCAACCCCCAATTGGTCAATCAAGTAATGATGCCAACCATGCAGCAGAGCCACAGCTACAATCACCGGTTGAACAGGAACGTTCCACAACAACTAATTCGCTTTTCATCGCACTGGCAAGAATTCCACAAATCTCTGAGAGCGAGCGCGCTCAAGTCGCCCTCCTCCAAGCACAAATTGGCCGCCTTCGCCAGGATTGGATATCGCGGGAGATTTCTAAGGTTATGTGGACAGGGATACGAGCTAATTATTCATCGCAGAGAGAGAAGAAGCAAATCAGACAAGAAATTGAAGCCACAAGCACAGCTAAGCTAGCACCCCCAATGGACGAAACAGAACTAATACAAGCATTGGTACGTTGGTTGAAGAGATTGCTCAGAAAATTGCTAAGTGTGCTAGGTTCTCCAAGCTCTTGCCCATGATGGCTATGTCGAGACTGCCAGAGCATTTGCGGAAGAAGTTCACGCAGAAAAGAAAGCATTGAGCCTAGATCCGAATGAGGTCGTTAAAGGTTTCGATGTCAAGGAGGATGAAGATGCAAGTCATCGTCAGCGTAAATTCATCAGTTCCTTCATGATAGAACAGTGGCTAATGACTTCACAGGGATACGAACTGCTGTTCTGGAAGGGGACGTTGACAAAGCTCTGAAGTACACTAACGCTTATTATCCAAGTGTGCTCAAAGACAATGAGCATGTCTACTTCCGCTTACGATGTCGAAAATTCATTGAAATGGTGAGACAAGCAGCCGAGTTACAGAATGCCAGCTCGAAAATCATCAAGAAGAGTAATGGTCATAATGGAGACTGGTATGACGATATCATCAATCATGACATGGAATTAGATGATCATCCGAACTCAAACAACTACGACCGGATGGACACCGAGGAACTCCCTGAAAGCCAGAATGAGCATCTACGATTGTTACAAGATACACTGGTTTATGGTACAGAACTCCAAGCAGAATTCAAGGATGATCCAAGAAGAGAAGTCAAGAAGGGCCTCGACGACATCTTCGCTTTGATGGCATATGAAGACCCATTGAAAGTCAAAGAGGTCTCTCATCTCCTGGATCCTGGAGGTCGGATGGCAGTGGCAGAAGAGTTAAACTCTGCAATACTACGTAAGCTCAGCCACGTGAAAGTCGTACACGGAACATAGACGCTAATGAGCCGCAGTATCTTTGGGCAAATCCTCCTCCGCCGCTCTCGAAAGACTCTATCAACAAACATATGTCTTGCTAGAAGATCTTCGAGAAGGGGGTGGTGCTGGTTCACTCGTAAATATTGACGACTTCGTACGGCCGAAGTCCGGCTCCTGAGACATAGCAAGCAGGTCAACTGGGTAGGGATCAAGGGGCGAATGGAATTCTTTGACAAAGAGACATTCTTCCCAGTCAGGCGTTAACATCATCTTATTTTGCTCGGTCTCCTTATCTTTCTCTACTCATACTCGGCATGCATGTGGATAGGTGTATGGGGTTAATCGGCTGCTCAGCCTTTCCTTTTCTTCAATGGGGAGTATGTTCATTGCGTGAGGAGATGATGGGAAAGGATTGATGGACTACAATGGGCTGCGGTACTGGGAGCACAGACGTCTTGGGCTTGGAGCTGGGGGCTTGGACGGACTGAGATGCTTTGATGCGTTTGTTCCGCGATGTTTAGACTGGATCGGCCCTGTTGCGTCGGATGCCATGGGATGGCGCCCGGTATATGCGAGTGATTGATTGTTCATAAGCATAAATGAGTTTCCAAAGTCTTCTCGTTGTTGTCTTGCTTGTGATGATGAACTGTTCTGGTTTCGATAGGCGAACTGCGGTCAGGGGCAGAAAGAGGCTGAAGGAAAATGAGTTGTGCCGAAGCCGGGTTATCAGATCATCAATCTATACTCGGTATCCGTATCAATATCAAGGTTCCCGAACCGAGAAGGACAGGGAAGCAAGAGATATCATATATGAGATCTGGTTTTAGGCGCTGGTGGTGTTCGGTTTTCATTTGGCGACACGTGAGGATTTAAGGTTGTGGGTTGAGGGCGCGGGACGGATATTGTTATCGGTATGGATTGTGGGTTATTTGTTTGTTTTTAGCAAGAGGAGGATAGGTGAGTTCTGGCTTGTTTGTTGTGGCAAGTGTTGTACAGGTGAGGATTCGAAACTGGGTAAGTTTTTGGATATTCTTGATTGTCAAGTGGAAGAACGAGCGGAGACTTTATGGAGGGTTAATTGTTGGGATTGAGTATGAGACTTGGGAAATTGGGAATGTGTGGATTGTCTTGGTGACTTGAGAGCAGTTTGGATGTTTGGTGTATCAATGAGATTTGGTGATTTGTGTTGTTTGGTACACTCCTAGAGCTTAAATCCCGAAGCATGCGAGCACACTCAGACTAGCTTGAACTATACTTTGGAGAATTGGATGTCAGGTCGAAGCTTGAATGCTGGAGTCTTGAAAATGGTTGGCTTTCTGAGCGAAGTGCATGTTGATAAACATATCCTCAGTTGTAAGCATACTGCTCCAAGTGGGACCTAATCAAATCCACTTGCTATTAGGACAAAAACTGAGCATAATTCTGGCATTGTATTATGATCTAGTCTCTAAGACCAATTGTTCCCGAGTTTATATCCGCTCAATATTACAGCCCTACGCCAGCTGTCCAAGAATAACAATAAATGAAGCGGCGCTGGTTGTGATATTTCCCTTGTCCCAACTCCGTAACCAAAATTCCCACGGCAACTTGTTAAATCATACGCCAACAAATGCTTTGCAGCACACGCTAATATTCGTTCTCGAACCTAATAGATGATACTCGCATACCGTATCTCCTCCTTTATATCGTTACTAACTGAAAATCGTACACTAATTCGTTCTCGAATCTTTTCGTCTGATCCCCAGGTTGGATGGCTTGCCGTGACGTCTTCCTTCACCACACTGGAGATCGTTGCGGATTAAATAGCTACTCCTTCTAAGTCTCGCATGAGGACTGCCATTTGCGCTCGTTTCGCAGCCTCTGCTACGAGGTTGAAGTCTCTCAGAAATGGCGAGGCGGTATCGGTCGGTCCTTGTGGTGGAGGAGGGGCTTGTTGGCTTTGTTGGCTTTGTTGGCTTTGAGTCTGGGGTGCGGAGGTGGGGCCAGAGGATTGTGCTGACGAGGAGGAAGATGAGGATTGATGTGAGAAGTAGGATTGCTGTGCTTGCCGCCCATTTAGGGTCGGGGAGGAAAGTGGTGCGTCCATCTTGGCAGGTTGTAATGACGTTGATGACGAGGACGAGGACGAGGAAGGAGAAGGCTTGTTGGTCTCGTGCAGGAAAGTCTCGTGGCGTAGAGACGAGGAGTTGGTCGTCTGAGTATATTTGAAAAGGAAAGAAAGAGAGAAGTCGAGAAATGCTGTCGTGAAAAGTGACTCGTGTGGCAGAGAGAAGTGGTGCGATGAACGCAGCCGGCTTGTGGAGATCGCTTCTTTTACGGTCTTTCTTTATGACCTCGGCGGATTCGAGGCCGGAATCGCCTCTAATTCGGCTAAATGAGGGATCGTAGCGGCTAGATATGACTTTTGACGTTTTCAGCGGGGGAAGTGGAGATGTTCTGACAAGAGGGAAATCTCTCTGCGGTTGTGCGACGACGAGGAGAATGACAATATGGAGAAATCCCGGAGGGCTGATGATAAAGGGAGGGCAGGAGAAGGATGCGGATGCAGATGCAGGCAGAAATTGAAGCCAGACTCAGCAGACGCACTGTTCCAGGTCCGGGAGTGGGTGTGCGACGTACCTGTATGTATGGTGAAGGGGAGGGAAGGGAAAGGCAGCCCTGCATGACACACTGACGCTGCTGTTGCTGCTGCTGCTGCTGCTGTGAAGGCTGCTGCACTTCTGTTTCCGTTTTCATTGACTGAGCATTACCGGCCTATGAGTGCCCGCCATTGTCGCCCGAGGCGTATCTTGCTCCTGTCCTGTGTCATGTACCCCACGCTGTATCCGCCGCCCTCTCCACACTCCGCGATCCTCGACTACTGTACTGTAGACTGCTCGAAGAGGCCAAGAGACTGCCGATCGGTCTGATCAGCTTTGATGGATGACAGTTCGGTGTGCACTTGTCGACCAGATCTCGATGTCGGAGATTAATCAAGAGGGCAATACAGCTGTAAAGTGTTTGTTGGCGATATGGTGGACGTGGCGGTCATCATGTTCTGGATAGGATTTCGTGCATGAGAATAAATTGACCTGCGTTGCACTGCAGCGGAGTCACCCATTTTGGCTCCAGAAATGCCAGGCAAAGCTTCGGATGAGAAACCGACATGAAGGCGGTATGAGCCGGCAGAATCAAATGCGGTCTTAGCTTCCTACGCGTGTCTGGAAAATCAATTAACGTGAAGATGCTCTGTGCCGCAACGAAGCACCGCTTTCTCACCAATGCCACCCAAAGAGACGCCGTCAAAGGAAGATGAAGATCAGTCCTCATTTTCGAGACAGACCAGGAAAGTGAGAGACTTGTTCTCCATTCCTCCGCCAGTCAAGAAGTTGTTTGACCGAGTCCCAATTGTTGTATATGCTCCAAATCAACTGCCACAACGCGCCCCCAAACCCGCGAGGATACCAAGTCTTTATGTGTTCAGTACAAGCCATGATGCGGCTGCTGGGAAGCCGTCTTTCAACCCAAGTTGTCTAAAATGGCAGGTCAGTCGATTGCTGAATTGCAATACTCAGGGGACTATTTTCTTACACGTCCGCAGACCTTCTTAAACATTGCTAGCGTTAATCACCGTCTCATCTCTTCCAATAACCACGCCTCTCCTACTGGATCATTACCATTTCTACTCCCTGCTGTACAATCCAACTCGCCTCAAGATGCACTATTGCCAGTAACATCCAATAAATTTGTAAAGTACGCTTCAAATCACGGTGGTTGGGTAGACGAGTCTCCCAGTATGCGTTATGAAGCATATCAATCCCTACTTGATCATCGAATACGAAATGCATGGGTACGAAAATCTTGCTGTTTCTGTGAGTGCTGCTAATATCGATGATAGCTCTATACTCTGTACCTTGAACCGTTGAATTTCTCCTCAGTCGCGTACCCACTTTACGTCTCTTCTACCTCATCGAATCCTCTTGTGCGAGCCTCGATAGCATACCAGCTTCGACTTGCAGCAGAAACAGAGCTCTTGAAACACACTTCCATCATAGACACCGACGACTTATACAGCGAAGCGGACAAGGCTTTCGAAGCTCTTTCGTCTCTCCTTGGGGAAGACTCGTGGTTCTTTGGGAACGATAAGCCTGCACTGTTTGATGCAAGCGTGTTTGCGTACACGCAGTTGCTCCTGGACGACAGCCTGGGATGGAAAGAGAAGAAGCTATGTCGAGCTCTGAGGACGAGGGACAACCTTGTACGACATCGAGAGAGACTGCTTGTAAGATATTATGGCGGGTGACCAATGAACCTCACTTTGAGAAAACACCAAAATCCACTCCACGCCCTTGGAGCAAAATAGTCCCAAAGGAATGTATACCATTTCCCTCATTTGTTAAACATCAGATCCTGATGGAATCAAGGTAAGTGGTTCTTAATTGTGTCATTAGGGTCTATGCCCAGCTTTCGGGTTGCGTTTCCTCCGTGTTGCCATTCAAAATACAAGCCTTGGGCCATGCCAAGTCGTTTTCTGGGGTTCAATGCTTTCAATCAATACTCCAGAACAAGCCTCTTGGAGATGAGAATCAAGAAGCTTCTAAATATAAGCTTAGTCTCATTGCGGGGTTAGTGTCCCCTTTAGGAGGCATCTAGAAGAACACTAGAACCTCGGCTGACGATTTTACACTGCGACTACCAATAAAGCCAACACTAACCAAGATTGCCAATTATCACTACTTGCACTGCCACTTTGCCTCTTCGCATTGATAATTGTATGGCTTCGTTACTTTTGTGACATTCGAACTACTTGATCACGCCAAAGTCCTGGGCGAATTGGGTACCACTACGCCAAGCAGTTTTTCTCTTTCAAGATGGACTTTCGGCAGCCGAAAAAAAGTTCGATACCTTATGCCAAGCGGAAAAGGTGTCTAGATATGGTCATTCAACGGAGTATTTGTACTCAGCCTTGGTGACGATGCTCTGGAGATCATCAGATCTCGGCATGTAGGTAAAGTACTATTCTGCTATGATCTTGCCTTGATATCTGCTATATAAGAACTCGTCCCGTTCACTGTTCAGATGATATTCATCATTCAAAGTGCTCTCCACGAACGAACAACCAAAAACTTTCAGAGACCTCAATACTTCAAAATGCGTACCGTCTTCCTTACCACCGCCATCCTCGCGACTACCATCCTCGCGACTACCATCCTCGCGACTACCATCCTCGCAGCCCCAACAGATATAAACTACGGCCCACCCCCAGGCGGCTGGGGCTCCATCGACTACCCAAAGGGCACAGGTGAAAACTTGCCTTACTACCCGCCACCACCTGGTGGCTGGGAAGCCGTCAAATACCCTCCCGGCACTGGATCAGACTCCTCATGCGCCTCTCCATTCAAGTTCACAAGCACATATCATGTTGTTGCTCTTGGGTCCGAGGTTCGCAACGGGACGACGCCTGCCCCTGGACCAAAAGATGCTGTGGGATTCTTTGATTTTGGGATCAACGCTGAAACGGACACTATTTGTTATGTGAGTTCGATTTCATATCTCCGCTTTAGCACATCCAACTCACACATCCCATAGAATATAACTCTCCTCAACGTCTCCGGCACACCTCAATCGCCTGCCAAGACCGCAACACATATCCACGCCGCCTCCCGTGGTGCGTCTGGTCCTCCCCGTCTCGCTTTTCCGAACCCAGTGGGTGACGATAAGCGACGAAGCAGTATTGGATGCATGACTGGCCCGTTTACCACTGGTTTGAACGGAGCGGATGGAAAGGATACTGCCACGGGTTTTAGGGTCGAGATGATCGAGGCGAATCCTGCCAGGTACTTTACTGATTTTCACTCAAATTTGTTCACGTTGGGCGTTGTGAGGGGGCAGTTGGCTTGATTCTATGTGTGGAGTAATTAAAAGGAAGGTATACATGGATGAGTAGTGGTTTGAAGACCTGCAGGAAAGAATCTTTCGTTGTTTCAGTTCTGTGTAGTGTAACTTTGGAAGTAAAATTGCAGTTCCTCTTTCTTCAGTCCTTGCTGGTAGCCTAGGCTAAATAGATATCTCTTTCATTCTACTCGAGTGCCTAACAACCAAATATCTACCTATGCTTTTACCAACGCCAACCCCTGAATTTGGCGGGGTCAGTAAGCGAATTCTCGCTTCGGGACGCCACTCTTTCACCGCTCTCCTTTCTATGTACAGCTTTACTGAAATGCTCAAACACTGCGGACATTGCATTTAAGAAAGATGTGGAGAGAAGTATGTGCATTGTTACTGATGCCTTGAGTACTTGTATAGCAGCCCGTTCATATTTGAGTTGCCTTAAGTTGAATTTGGTTATTCGATTTCGGTACCCATTATCTAATTACTCGCCAGCATGGAGAATCCTCAATACCTACCTATAAATTTAGAGCACCTACAGATCTCTTCTGATGAAGATTTACAGCCTACCCGAGTGGCACACAGAGTGGCTACAGCTTATGCTCAAATAGCTGCTCAAGATCGCGAGACCATCGCCTGGCATCCAAGCTGACGAGATAAAATCTAGTCTGTGGTGCGAGATAAAAATGGAATTCAACATATGCCGATGAGTAATGGTGAGACTCCCTTTTTTTGTCATATGAGATCCATCTAGACATAGATTTATCATTTACTCGAGAGTTGATACCTTCATCCCGCTTCCCAATATTTACTCTGCCTTGTAAATCCTCTCATTCTTTTGTATCCTTCTTCCCATCCTTCTTCAGATTGCCCTTCTCCCAGCCCAGAAGAATTCTACAACTTGTTGTAAGAATATGTTTCCTTGATACATCCCTAAAACGTATTCCTCGTCGCGAAGGTGTAGTCCAGCAGTAAACGCAAGTTATGCTCCATCAGGTAGTGCTGGTGCTCATGTGGGTATTGCTAATTGAATGCGAGATCGACAGTAAAGATTGAGCTAAAGTCATGCAGTATATCCCAGCGGGGCCAATCGCAGTGATCAACAACTTCTGCTGCATGCAATATTGTCCACGAGAACAAGCTCGCACGTTCGAAAGAATATGACAAGAAGACCACCGCAAGATTGAGGTTGCTGATGAGTAGCTATTGGGGACCGTATGTGTTGTTTGTTAATTATGTTGTTAGTTACAACATATCATCCAACAGGAATTTGAGGAAACTTGAAGATATAGTTTCCATTCGAAGCCGAGGAACGCAACGAAGATCTGGCAGAAGTTGAGAATCAGAAGCTCAACTTAATCTCAATTATTACTGGCCATGTCATTGCCACATTACGTGAAAGATGATTTACTAGAATGCAAGTGCATTTTTGGGGGCTGGGTAGGAGACAACCGTCGCATCTACCAAGCTTTCTCGCACTATTGTACATCTACCAAAGTAAAGCCAGTAACTACGATCTCACCCTCGTTCTATCGTCAAGAGACAACTAAACATGCGTGTAAAGATCAATAGCAAGCGATTCCATACCCCTGCTGCTACTCTTTGTCATCGGAATGACAACCGAAGAAACAGAGAAGAAAGATCGACATGCAATTACCAGCCTGACTGAACCACGGCTTGACCACCACCCCAGTTCTCATCACCACCACCACCAGCATACTCTTCAGCAGGGGCGGCAGATCCATAGTTGCCACCACCACCATAGCCAGTATTAGCGGCATCTCCACCTCCATAGCCTGCACCACCATTCTCACCGCCACCACCTTCAGCCTCCATGGCCTTAGCTTGGGGGCACTTAACCTTGGTGTGACCCATTTCCTCGCAGATAGTGCACTTAACACGAGAGTAGTCTCTTGGTAGAGGGCACTCTCTGCCTGAATGACCCCAAGCGTCGCAGTTTCTGCATTGCATCACACGCTCGTTGGTGCAATCCTAAAACACCATCAGCATGTATGCAATACAACAATGAGTAAGACACAGTTCTTGCTAGCTAGCGGATAAACTTACATCCTTGCGATGTCCCTCTTGGCCGCAGTTTCTGCAGAGATTGCCGCCTCCTTGAGGACAGTCACGCGAGAAATGACCGACTGATTGGGTTAGCAAGCATCTACAGAATAGAGGTAATAATGAAAAGACAAACCTTCACCGCACTTCTTGCACTCGACTCCTTCAGCAGAACGAGGCTCGGGGCATTCCTTGGACGAGTGGCCAGATTTCTTGCAGTTTCGGCAAGCGAACTTATCCTCTCGGGGGTTGGGGCCTAAGATCACGAATCAGCGATGTCCAGCAACGAAAAGGAGTACGACTTACAATCACGAACTCGATGACCAACGGTGTCACAGTTGTAACACTTGACCTCTGCTCGATCGGTCTCGTTCTTGTCTTGCTCACACTTGGCACGAGTGTGACCAAGCTATGAAAACGTCAGTATGTTGCAGCAAACAAGGACAGGAAGATCAAGGTGCGGTGCTGCTCCCTACCTCATTGCAGTTGTTGCACTTAGGAATGCCTCTGTCGACGGCTACACCAGCATCATTCAAACGCTCCAAGTTCTCTTCCGGAGTTGGCCAGCCATCGGCCTCCTTTGGTCGAGCAGACTTCGGGGACCAGCGCCATTGAACATTGTAGGTCTTGTCAAGGTTACCTTGCAAGTCCATGTTGGTGTAAGTAATGCCCAATTCCTTCTCAATCGCAATGAGATAGACACCCAAGCCCTGGCTTCGGAAGGCCTTCTCAAGCGTGAGATAGGTAGTATCTGGATTAGCCTTGATGTACTGCTCGGCGGCTTCCTTAAGATCATCAAGATCATGGTCAAGGACAGCAGCTCGAAGCGCCTCCCACGCAACTTCTCCTGAAACATCCTTGACATGATCACGATTGATCTTTCTGGGGTTTTCACACGTCAAAGCCTCGTGGCCTTCTTGCTCACAGTTGCGGCAGATAGTCGGAGGCTTGCTTGGGCAATCTGCGGCACGGTGTCCCTGCTGGTCACAGAGGCGGCAAGTACCAGTGAACTCGCGAGCAACAGCCTCGTTGGTACACTCAGCCTTGGTATGACTAGGCTCTGTGTTAGCTATGTGCATGGATGATGTTCGGTGATGAGGTTGGAGGTTAAAGAGATAAACAAGTCATCATTCCACTTTAAAGTGTCGGGAGGCAAATGTCTGACTGGATCTTGGAGGGTAGAGTGCGCTGGATAGCGAGCTCCATGAAGTTGAAAGTTTGCTTACCCTTCTTCACCGCAATTAAAGCAAGGACGTGGCTTGGCTGGGTTGGGGCAATCGGCCTTCGAGTGGCTAAAGCCCAGTTAATTGATTGTCAATCCGGAGGAGGAGAGACACGTACCCTTCCTCGCCGCAATTGTAGCAGCCACCATTGAAGCGAGCACCTTGATCGCCATCACCATTACCGCCGTAGGTGTTGGAAGACTCATGGGACGGTTCTCCATTGCCTCCGCCATACGTATCCGCGCCATGCTCATCAGCAACGCCTTGAGCGGCAGCTCCACCATCCCAATTACCACCGCCGCCACCACCAGCTCCAGTATCCCAAGACATCTTGCCGATGTTCAGGCCTTTTGACTGTTTGTGTGTCTGTGGGAAGAATGTCAGTAGCTTATCTCGAATCGAGCTACCGAATATGACGTGGAGAAGATAGGTAAGAGGCTCAAGACGCGTTAGATTATCGCGAATTGATCTGATACCTTGGTATGTCTGATAGTGAGGGGCAGAGATCGGTCCCTCGCAGAATAAAGGTAGGCTGATGCGATCTTTGCCGGGTGAGGGGATATGATAGTGAAGCAAACAATCAAATCGAAGCCAAACACCCCGCGTCAATACTGAAGTTGACGATGGGATGTTGGAGAACTGGAGCAGTGGTCTGCAGCAGAGAGGGATTGAGAAAGGGTACAGATCGAAAGCTCAATTGAAGATGTGTGTGGGAGGAGGTGTGGAACGTTGAAGGAATACTCACAGATTCTTGTTTTGTATCTTCTCGAGATACAATAGAGCTTGCGAAAGAATCACAAGCTATCCGTCGAGGATCCTTTTGAGTATCTAACAAGACAAGAATGCGGAGTGACGAAGTTGTTGAGAGAAGGAAAGAAAGTAAACAAACGAAGAGTCTCGTGTGTTTTTGTACTCGAAGAGATCGGTAAGCGAGCCTTCCCTACCTGGAAGTCGATTCGGGCAGGAACGTCAACTAGCTCCGCCTTTGCTTCCCTCTGTTGGAAATTCACCTCCCAGTCAATTTATGGCGTAGAAGGCGAAGATTTTCGGGTTCAAGGGCGCCGGAAGTACAGTTCTGCAGATATTGCTTTCTTCCCGGAGCTTTTGCAGTAGAACGTGCCAAAGTTGGCACAACAAGGTCTATAATTCGCGCCCTCCCTGCTGTTCGAGGTGGATCACGACCGAGAGCTTCATTGATATCTCTGACCGAAATCTCGATTTGGGTAGATACTCGTGTCCCGCTTTTCGCTGGTTTATGATAGTCTGCAAGAATATCAACATCCAGCAAATGCACAACTCTTTTTGAAGACACACGAACATGTTCTCTCCACTGAAAGTTCTCTTGTGAAGACCGTACACCGCAAGGTACAAATTTGCTGGGATTGCAGGCTTCATGGTGGCAGGGTTTTTAAGTACATAATTTACCATACTCTCATGTTGATACTTTATATTACAGCTTTATTTTGCAGGATCGGGTCAAAATCATTTGATAGTATCCAAATTGAGATAGGATACGAGATCCAGCACCACCTAGTGATGTGGGTGGCTTTTGGTACTAGGAATATCAACTCCCCTCTAGGTCAGATAGAAATGACTTCAAGGCGCACTTACACAAGCTTGGTGTGAAAACCTTATTTCACTATCCCCATGCAATCACACATGATCGCTGAACAATATCAAGAATTCCAAGTTTGAGTTCAAGTGAAGGATTCAAGGGCAGAACGAAATTCATGAGAGATTGACGTATTGAAGAACGCTTAAGATGATGCTCGAGTAGCCAAGCAGAGGCTCTTGTTGCTTTGCCTTCTGAAGACATCAGAAATGAATTTTGTCTTTGAGCACAGGATAATTGAGCTTCTTTCTTCTGTAAGAGCAGCAGACTCTCGACTCATGCAGATGATATCCATGCCTACGTACTAGTAAACTACAACATCCGTAACTAAATGAAACTTTTTCGCTGTCCAACATAGGTGGAATAGGAATTTTCAGCTTGACGGCCCTTCGTCGACGTCGTCAAGTACGCTAGCTATTCCCGGCACCACTGTCCAAGCGCTGTATCCATGTACGGGAGATTTCACCCCGAAACAAAATATTGAATCAAAAGTTCTAAGCGAACACAGCTGAGCAGGACACAACTGCTCGGAACGACCGTTGAATGTCACTTGCGGCAAGTGCTGATCTTCTTCCCAACTACAATGTTCCCTTGCAGAGTCCCCCTCAATGACGTGTTCTCTGCCTCTGAAAGGGCGCTTTTGGCACCCACGAAACCCCCACTTACGAGGATTCAACCCCGCAATGAGCGTCCGACATATAAAGCTGATGAGACGGCCCAGCTGTTGTTCATACGAAATTTCTCCTCGTCGTCTGTCCCCACCAAATTTTCCTAGTCAAGATCTTTAACTTCCAAAATGTCGCCGCCCGAAGGACTTCCAAAGATGGAATACAGATTCCTAGGCCGATCTGGTCTTCAAGTATCTGCAATCTCCCTTGGTGGCTGGCTAACATACGGAGGACATGTTGAAAATGGCAAGTAGTACGACGGGTCTTTAGTCCAGAATCTAATACTCCCTAGAAAACACCTTCAATTGCATGAAAGCTGCTTACGATGTTGGAATAAACTTCTTCGATTGTGCCGAAGGTTATTCTGGTGGAGAATCTGAACGAGTGATGGGACAAGCTATTAAGAAATTTGGCTGGAAGCGAAACGATTTAGTTATCTCCACCAAGGTACTCTTCTCAGTCCTCGGTGAGTCTTGGTACTAACAGGTGTTTTTTCTAGATCAATTGGGGAGCATCTCATGGAAGTAACCCTGTCAACAATGTTGGACTTTCTCGGAAACACATTATTGAAGGCACAAACATGGCTCTCGAACGTTTAGGCCTGGACTATGTCGACTTGATATACGCCCACCGACCGGATCGCAACACGCCCATCGAGGAGACTGTTCGAGCATTCAATTACTTGATCGACAACGGAAAAGCTTTCTATTGGGGTACATCAGAATGGAACGCGGACGAAATTGCCACAGCTTGGCGTTACGCTGAAAAACTCAATATGATCGGCCCCGTGATGGAGCAGCCCAATTATAACATGCTTGTCAGAGAAAAAGTTGAAAAGGAGTTCGAACATTTGTACGAAGAAATCGGACTTGGCCTAACGACTTTCAGCCCCCTGAAAATTGGAATTCTGACCGGAAAGTACAATGATGGCATTCCAAAAGAATCAAGATTGGGAAGTAGCCAAGATGCGTTCGTGCAAATGATGAACAAGCGCGTTGGAGACGAATCATGGAAAAAGGACATTGAACAGGTCAAAAAACTAAAGCCTATTGCGGACAAGCTAGAGATATCCCAGGCCAATTTGGCCATGGCTTGGGTTCTCAAGAACCCGAGGGTCTCCTCAGCAATCACTGGAGCTAGTCGTCCTGAGCAGATCTACGACACTGTGAAAGCTATATCCACTGTTGAGAAGCTGACTCCAGAGATCATGAAGGAGATTGACAAGATCCTGGGAAATAAGCCAGCTACAATGACGAGGAGATTCACGTAGGAGTGGTATATGCGAGATATGAAAAGTTCAAATGGTTGTACATTCTTCATTGCGCTTCTGCTGTGTCCCCTGTGCAACAAAATTCAGGCCATGACCATAAGACCGTCACATAAAACGCCTCCAGTTTTTATATTCCTTCCAACTCCTTATTCGTTGCATTATACATTTGTCGGCCTATCCGTATCCTCCTGGCGGTTCACCGGGGACCTTGATCTTCTATTTGCCGCAGCCACTGCATCTGGCCTCCTCAGGTCTAGTTCATCCGCTTCGACGTGCTCGTTATATCCTGGCGGGTGATGGACAGGCTCTGGTCTTCTCATGTCTCCTAATTCTAATCCATCTGCGTCTGCTGCCAAAGCACTGGTTGAGGGTAACACTCCATCGGTGCTTCGTATGCTCGGTGGCTTCGACCCAGGAACATAGGGCGGGGGTGCTTCCCCTCTCTCGTCCAGACCCTCCAGTCTGTCGAGCCGTGGACGGCCACCACCATAGCTGCCTGCATTTGTTCTGCCAGTCCGGTTGCCAAATCGTGCCCGGAAACCTGCCACATCCGTAGCTAATGCGCGCTGGCTTTGTGATCTTAAAAGAGCTGCCTTTCGTTTCTTCCGCCGCCCGACGTAGAGTATGCACAGGCAGAATAGCACGGCCACTATTGCAATAATCAGGAAATAGTAGTTGAAGACATGATCTTGGACGTCGTCAGGATCCGTCGGAGGTACTGAGGGTGTTATAGGTGAATCGGATTGTGTGGTGCTGGCCGGAGCACTTGATGTCGTCGAGGGAGAAGATGAGGAGCTTACTGAAGTCTGGAATGTCGTGGGAGACGGAGAAAATGTTGTCGAAGGTGCGGGGTCGGTAATTTGTGCATAGGATGAGGCGGGAAGGACGATGGAGAGGAATAGTAGCGTTGACGAGAATAACGGTAAAGATCTAGGACACTGGCATACGGCCCTGGGCCGCCTTGAAGTCATAGTCTTTCTGCGAGATGTAAATCGAAGGAACGATGCGATATCCTAGGATGTGGGAAAGCATGTATCTGCTGTATAAGGAAGCCGTCATCACTATCTCGTGGGAGTCAATAAGTTGAAATCCCATGCAAGAACTCGATGAATTCGAAATCAGGAGGGAAACCAAGATTATGAGAAAATGAAAAGAATATATGAACGTTTGCGCTGAAGTCAAACAAAGCGGTGTTGTTTCATCAAACCATTGATAAGCACGTCGAGATCCAACCTTCTGATCTTATGCAACGAAAGCCGCAAATCCCGGAGATTCAAAAGCTTGTGCTTCATTTGACCAACCATTTCCTTACAAGGCTGCAATCACCCCTGCACAAATTCTCGGTGTCCGGGTCTAAACTCCATCCGTGTTCGTGCATCACGAAGTCACGAGCAATAGCGTTTCCGTGAACAAACTTGATGTTTGAGAAGCCTCGCGGTCAATCAAAATGCCACGAGCTATCAGAGGTGAGACGTCGTGCATTGCTGAGCATGAAGTTTATTATTGACTTTGTCGTGCTAGGCGTCCTCATCGAGTGTGATCCCTCTATCAAGTCAATCATCGTCCAGATAGACGCAGAGGATCATGCTTATATTGTCGAGGAGCTGGACGACCAAACACTCGTTGTGAAGGAGAATATGCTGACAAGCCTGAAGATGAAGCTGGACGAGGTAGGTCTATTGACTGCTATTGTAGCCTGGCAAGGCTGATATTGGATTTAGAAATTGAAAGCCACCCAAATACCTGTGGAGGAGTCGGACCTCGATTAAGATTTAAGAGGGATCAAACAGGCGTTCAGTGTTGTGCATTTGGTATGGGTGATGACGTTGAGGAGTGGCCTTTGAGAACAATATCACAATTCAGCATGGTATTGCAGCTCTGTTCAACCTCACTACATAGTGAAGTCTGATCATATATCCATCTCGTTTTGGTACTGGTTGAGATCTCTAATATACAATGCCAAACATCTTCTAGAATACAAATTCTCTATGCTTCTGGGGAAGTAGATGTTGATACTGTGGTCGACGTAGTCTCTGATATCAAGCCGGCAGGTATTGAGCCCAAGGGAATCTTCCTTCTCGGTCTTTTGAGCTCCTCCATTGTGACTCCATCCAACTTCGTGATACCGACGACAGGAGGATCTCCCTTCTTCACGAACTCGTACATGCCTAAGACGAATCAATATGTGCAGAGCTTCGACAATCGGTTGGAAACAAACCTGGCATTTTGTTTCCAGCTAGTCGGAATGCATCTCTTGCTACTTGCTCGTGAATATCTCCTTTCAGCTCAAAGATCACTTTGCTGACAGCGATTCTAGATGCCCAGTGATCGAATGAACCCTTTCCTTTACCCATACGAACCTGCAGAAAGGTTAGACTTCTTTCCCCAATCCAGATATTTGCCATACCTCATTTCCACTGCTGTATACACCAATGCTGGCACACACCCTCTTATACAGCCGGTATCGCATGCCCTTCAGTCGGACTTTAATAGCATCTTCTCCATTCTTCAATTGAGATGCACTAACTCTCCGGTGATGATCGCACATCCGGAGGCCATAATCACCCCATACTATCGTAGTCCCTCTGGCAGAACCTCCTGTTGGTACACGAGGTCGACCTTTCCGCGATCTCTTCTTTTCAGGCATCGTCGGCAAGAGCCAATTCCCAGCTCTTGAGGCTGTACCCGAGAAAGGTCTCCGAAAGATCGCATTCTGGGAAGCTAGGTCTCTTTGCAATGACAGCGTCGTCGAAGGGGTCGTGAGAAGTCGTCTTGAATTCAAAGCTATCGAAAGCTTCTCGAATTGGGCAGTGAAGCTCGATATGTTTCGAAGCTTCATTGTTGCGATTGTTGACTGCTGAAAGACTAGTGTTCCCAGAACCGTGAGGTCTTCAAAAGTTCCTGCCTTACTGGGGTGCGGTGCCTAAGAAAAGTTGCAGGGGTCTGTCAATTTAGTCGCGGTTTCGCGTTCTAAGAAGTCGCGTACATCATCAATTTTGCGGAGCTCAACGCAAGTCAACACTCCGAAATGTCAATTTGACAAACTTAAGGGGGCACTCCATTATCATCTCCGATAAACTTCCAAACAGGAATCACGAATTTCAAAATGCCTCCGGATATTCGCAACTTTTTTGGAGCCAAAACTCAGACCCCCATCCGAGAGAAGGAGACCAAGGAAACCAAGAAAGGAGATGATTCCAAGAAGAAGCGAGGCAGTAAAGACTAGGTTGATGCAATTAAACCATTATTGACTGCTAACATTTCATAGAAAGCCGCAAAGTCATTGAAGATAGTGATGACGATGAACCTACACCAGCGTTTGTAATACATATTCTTACCACAAATCACCTCTAACTATTGCAGGGTCAAGAAATCAACCCCCAAGAAGGCACCCGCCAAGAAAGCTGTGTGAGTATACCAAGATACCTCAATATTCACTACTGATTTTTCCCCAGGAAGCAGGAATCCCCTAAAGGACAAGAAACCTCTACAACGGATTACTTTGCTACCAGCAGCAAACCTAAGCCTACCAAAACCACTTCCGCAAAAGCCACTCCCGTCAAAACTAAGAATCCGCCAAAATTCGAAACTAATGGTCGGTCCTCTGCTCGCAAGAAGACCGCAACATCGTACAAGGAGGAAGAGGATGACGACGACTTTGCTATCCCTTTAGATGACGATGAAGAAGGGGCGGATGACATCTTTGCTACAGATGTTAAGACATCCGGCAAGAGAAAGGATGACGGTTATGTCGAGAGTGACAGTAACGATGAACCCATTGTCGTGCCAAAGAAGACAGCGAATGCCAAGGCCAAGGGTTCTAAGAAAGAAGATGTTGAAATGAAGGATGCTAGTGACTCTTTTGTCTTGGCAGATGAGAGTGATGATATGATGGTCATCGACAAGCCGGCCCCAAAAACCACTGGAAAGAAACGAAAATCTGTGGATCTCGAGTCGGAAGATGACGAGGAAGATGTCAAACCAAAGACCAAGTCCGTCAAGGCGAAGTCCTCTAAGCCGCCACCCGCGAAGAAACCAAGAGCCCCGAAGAAGAACGAACCCGAAAGCTCTGCTGTTCAGGCGATTCTTGATAACATCCCGACTGTAAGAGCACCAACTCCGCCTCCGCCAGACGCCAGTGCAAAATGGGACTGGAAAAAGGGAGGCGGTGGTGGTGGCAATGCTGGACCACCGGCCGGTGCAGGATCCAAAGAGATACCAGTGGGCGCAGAAAATTGTTTAGCTGGTATGACTTTTGTGTTCACTGGCTTACTCGAGTCAATCTCTCGTGAAGAGGGAACAGAGCTTGTGAAGCGATACGGAGGTAAAGTCACAGGTGCGCCGAGCAGCAAAACAACTGCTGTGGTCCTCGGCAATGACGCTGGTCCAAGCAAATTACGGAAGATAGCAGAGCTTAAAATCCGGACGATCAACGAAGATGGTTTGTTTGCGATGATTAGCCAACTTCCTGCCAATGGAGGTGACGGCAAAGCAGCCGAGAAGACTATGGAGAAGAAGAGAGCAGAAATGGAGAAAATCAAGAAGGAAGCAGAGGAGATGGAAAGGGAGGAGAAGCGAAAAGCTGCCGAAGCTGAAAAGGCCGAGAAGGAGGCACAAAAGCAAGCTGCCCTCAAAGGAACGTCTGCTCCAGCGCCCACCCGCAAAGTAGCACCTACTGCTCAACTATGGACTAGCAAGTATGCTCCAACATCAATGAACCAGATCTGTGGCAATAAAGGGCAAGTGGAGAAGATTCAAGCCTGGTTGAAGGGTTGGGCAAAGGCTCACAAGTACAACTTCGAAAAGAAAGGGCCGGACGGTCTAGGCGGCTATCGTGCAATAATCATTCATGGCCCACCTGGTATCGGGAAAACCACCGCTGCACACCTTGCTGCGAAGCTGGCTGGTTACGATGTCATAGAGAGCAACGCAAGTGACACTCGAAGCAAAAAACTCGTGGAAACAGGACTTAATGATGTATTGGACAACAATTCTCTCCTCGGTTACTTTTCAGGTAACGGCAAAGACATTGATAAGCAGAAGAAGAATATTGTCCTCATCATGGACGAGGTGGACGGTATGTCTGCTGGAGATAGAGGCGGCGTTGGTGCCCTTGCCAAAGTCTGCAAGAAGACTCACATACCAATGATCTTGATCTGCAACGACCGGAAACTGCCAAAGATGAAGCCTTTTGATTTTGTCACGTTCGATATTCCCTTCCGCCGTCCAACACTGGATCAGATCCGGTCTAGGATTGCAACCATCTGCCATAGAGAGGGCTTGAAATTACCCATGAATGTGATTGATGCCCTCGTTGAGGGTAGCAACAAAGACATTCGCCAAATCATCAACATGTTGTCTACGGCCAAACTGGATCAAACCTCTATGGATTTCGACCAAAGCAAGGCCATGTCCAAAGCTTGGGAGAAGCATGTGATTTTGAAGCCATGGGACATCTGCCATAAGCTTCTAGGCGGAGGTATGTTTGCTCCAAGCAGCAAGTCGACTCTTAACGACAAGATCGAATTGTACTTCAATGACCATGAATTCAGCTATTTGATGATTCAAGAGAATTATCTGAGCACCAAGCCAATACTTGTGGGAAGTCGACAGGGACGAGAAGCCAAGCTGAAAGAATTACAGCTCGCCGATCAAGCTGCAGAGAGCATCAGCGATGGCGACCTGGTTGATAGAATGATTCATGGTTCCCAGCAGCAGTGGAGTCTTATGCCAACTCACGCCGTGTTCAGTGCCGTCCGCCCTGCTAGCTTTGTATCTGGTATGATGACTGGCCAGACAAGCTTCACGTCTTGGCTTGGTAACAATAGCAAGCAACAAAAGCTCGTGCGCTACGTGAAGGAGATTCAGTCTCATATGCGTCTGCGGACATCTGGAGACAGACACGAGATTCGACAACAGTACTTGCCCGTTTTATGGATTCAAATGATCAAGCGGCTTGAGCTTGAGGGAAAGGATTGTGTCGACGAGGTTATCGACTTAATGGACAGCTACTTTTTGACAAGAGATGACTTCGACTACATGATGGAGCTTGGACTTGGCCCTCAAGATCAGGAACTCGTCAAGCTTGAGACACAGACCAAGTCAACTTTCACAAGATTGTAAGTTAGATCACTTTTTATCAAGTGAATCACTAACTTGGGACACAGATACAATGGCCGATCTCATCCGTTGCCGTTCATGAAGGCATCGAATGTCGTAGCTCCTGCGAAGCAAAAGAAGGAAGCTCCTGATCTTGAGGAGGCAATCGAGGAAGAAGATGAGGGCGATGCGGTCGAGGAGCCTACTAAAGAAGAAGCAGAGGAGATCGATTTCAAGAAGGATAAATACATCAAGCAGCCAAAGGTCAAGAAGGCAGCGGCAAAAAAGGCTACCAAGAAGACGAAGGGAAAGGGTGATGACGAGGGCGAGCCTGACGACGACGATGATGAGGACGAAAAGCCCAAGAAGAAGGCCAAATCGAAGGCGTCGACGGCCAAAGGGAAAGGAAAGAAATGATTGTGTATAGTCTAATCTACTGTATATGTTATCTAGCATAGCCTTTTGAGGTTTGGAGGTCTGAGTGTATGCTAGTTGAACATATTCCTGCCAATGTTGGGATTCAGAGCAGTACTTGAAATGCGATGTTTTGAGATTAGGAAACATTCAAGTAGACCTACCTTTGTCCCTCAGAGCCCTTCTTCCATCTCGGCAAGCCTTAGAAGGTAGAAATTCCTTTAGATGATGCCCAATTTATCGGAACCCCCCTGTCGCCACGAAAGTCGTTCTTCTCATCATGCAGTAGCATGATATCTCGATTTCTTTCTTACTCCTGTAACATTCTTGGAATATAAAATATAATTGGTCCAGAGCTTGTGGAACAAAATTAATGGGAAAAGTAGATTTAACGAGATTCACAATAGTTTTAGAAAGTAGTCCGGGTCGTTCTTATCCACTTCATCTTTCGATTTTTAATTTACCGTTAGGACTTAGCCTATTTATGCAGTCTGAAAAGCTTTAGAACAATATTGTCTAGTATACCAATTTCTATAGTATTTCATATCCTCGATTTCTAATATACCGTTAGGACTTAGCCTGTTTATATTTTCTGAAAAGCTTTAGAACAATATTGTCTAGTTTGCCAATTTTTATTGTATTTCATAATCTCGTGCTTTCAAGCACCATTAATCCGTCCATCTCCAACAACAAGTTCAAGACCATGCATTGCACTTTCTGTTCTCGAAATTGTTTGAACACTAATTATCTCCGGCACTTCATTCCCATGCCAACTTCCTCGTATCTAAGCGCTTGCAATCTCCTTTTCTAACCTCCGTGATCTTCTTTCCAGTTTTCCATCTCAGCATCGTCATTGAATGCTTCAGAAACTTGAAATTTCCTTCGCCATCCCATTTACTTTCCTTCACACTGACCTCTTCCTTCCCTTCCGCATTCACAGCTTTCACATCTGGACCAGTGATGGTATACACTTCGACATCCTTCCCTGCTCCTGACAGATTCACTTCAAAACCTTTCGTCTCGTGGATATTCACCACAACCAAAGTCAGCACACCCTCCTCGTTCATAGATGCACTGACATCCAGCCAACTTGCACCATCTTCGAGGACCCCTTGAAGCCAAGTAGGATTGGTAACCCCATCATAAGCCCCACAACTAACATGAACACCCACAGTCCAACCCCTCATATACTTACTAAACAGCAACAAGGGCCACCAAGTCGCCTGTTTCACAATTCCATTTTTCGTCGTCATCAATGGACTAATAACGTTCACACTTTGGGCAATGTTCGCCATTCCTACCCATCTACTTTGCCTCACGAAGACATTCAACCAAACAGCCACACCCAGAGCATCGGATAAGGTGTAAAGTTCTTCGGCCCCCTGCTCACCAGGAGCGCGTTCGGGATCCCAGACGTTCCATTCGTCAAAACAAATAGTCGTCCTAGGAACACCGGGTGGGATCTTCTTCTCAATTCTCGCAATATCGATAAGCGCTGCGGCAGTTTCAATCGCTCTTTCTGCTGACAATGGAGCAGTGACGTTGGGGAGATGCTCTTTGTCGGCTGTGTAGATGTGGATGCTGTGCATATCTACGTACGGAATGCAGGATTTGAGAACCTCGTGGTCCCAGGAGGAGTGACCAGTTTCACCGCAGAGGATGAGGCAGAGGCTTGGGTCGAGAAGTTTGAGGGCTTTGGCCCATTGAGCAGCTGTTTTGGCATAGTCTTCGGAGGTCATTTGTCCAACTTGCCATGGTCCCCACATCTGAAAATGGTTAGTCCAAGATTAGCTTTCGACAGAGGTAAGAGTTTACTTCGTTACCCAAAGCCCAGTATTTGATGTTATATGGCTCTTCTCTTCCGTTCTTGCGTCTGAGATTGGCATAGTAGGTATTCTTTGTACCATTGCAATACTCAACCCAGGCCAACGCCTCGTCCAGAGTTCCAGTGCCGAAGTTCAACGCAAAATATGCCTCGACTCTCTTCTCCTTCCCTTCACTCAGAACTTCAAGCCAGTGCATGAATTCATCAGTACCTATTACAATCAGCCTCATCATTACTTCCTCGTGATACATAGGATCTACCAAACTCATTTGTCTCGGTTCCCAGCCAAGCAAGTTCTGGGCGTGCGGGTCTGTTCTCTCTGGGTCCAACTCCATCTTGCCAATGATAAGTAGCTACAAAATTTCCTCCTGGATACCTAATCACGGGAATATCCAGCTCGCGTAAGGCGGATAGGACATCAGTACGGTACCCGTGAGAGTCTGAAAGAGGGTTGCCTGGGTCGTAAATTCCTCCGTATATACAACGACCCATGTGCCTGGAGGAACGTCAGATGAATGCTATGTATGATAATGTAAAGAACGAAAGGCGATCGGGATATTTAAGCATCAAAATATCCTGTCTATGAAGGGACATTGAAAAGGTTCAGTATCGAAATCTCCGATCCGAGAAGGGACATTGAAAATGGTTCATCTGTTGAAAACCCGCAATCGCATTTTAAGATGAAAGCATGCTTGCAACAATTCGAGTGAGCAACTCACTCCATGAACCCGCCATATATGTTTGGATCTGGAGGTTGTCAGATAGGTACGCTTCATTTAAAGTGTTCATCCCATTTTTGGACATCAAGCTCGCGACAGCTTACCTATCTTCGAGAGTCTCCTGGTGACATCGACATTAATAGAGGGAGTTTCCTCTTCGGACAACCTCGTGAAAGTCGTCATTTTGCTTCAATTTCGACTCTTTTTATTTCCAATTCAATATCTGCACGCACAATGTGTCGAGCTTTTTGAGGCAATCTCCTACCTGTTAAACGCATGACCTTCACGTTGGCGTTCCTCACGAGAGCTTCAATTGTGGTTCCTGACCCACTGGTCCATATTGATTATCCCTACCATCCACTGATGTATGATTGGCGCGCATGTATCCATATCCTCATGGACTAAGCTTTGCTCCTGGCACTGGCAGCTTTTCTGTTCGCTGCTCTCGAGTGGCGGGAATAGTTTCACCGATTTCCCCAGCGGGGCTGGATACTTCCGGCGGGCATTGTGGCTTGACCCCACAATCCCGACCTCCACCTGATCAACTCAACTCGCTTGCAATTCGACTTCCAGTCTCCTTGTCGAGTTTCCATGCCCTCGGATGAGCCCACCAAACAGCCAGTAACCAGCCGCATCTCTTGACGCCGACACCTTTGAACAAGACAACGGCCCGTGTCAATCCCAATGGGTTGTCTTGTCTAGTACCAGAATTTATGCGTTCCAATTGCGATGCTGCTCTCTGGAGTTCGTCTTCGTGGTGTGCACTTCCCCCTAGCACAATGAGGCCAATACCCGGGGCGTCTCCCCAGCTGGTCTATGCAGAGCTATCTTGCCCCATGAAGCTACCCCAGTCCCCCCGCATGTGGTTTGGTATCTGGGCGAATTTTCCCTGCAGACCTGAGTATATAGATTGACAGTCGCGTCCCGGAGAAAGTTCTCCCCATCTTCATTTCTTTGGAAGTATTGCCATCCTTTCTACGTGTTGAAGCACAAACCGCGAAGATGGTTCTCAATCCAAAGGTGTACCAGGTATGCAATTATGTACCTTTGATATGGCCCACGGCTGATTTGACCAGTTCCTTGTGGGCGTTTTCGCCTCCATGGGGTCCATCCTCTTCGGATACGATCTTGGTGTTATTGCTGAAGTTATAGCGTCGAGCTCATTCATCAGTTTCTTCAACAATCCAACTAGTACTCAGACGTAAGTTGCGTATTCTGGAAAAAAGCGAGTATACGCTAACAAGTTGCAGAGGCATCGTGGTATCATTCTTCACAGGCGGTGCTTTCTGCGGAGCTGGACTGGCAGGACCCGTATGCCTCACTAATGTCCAAACCATTTCAAACACAAGCTGACAATGTTCCCAGAGCGGTGATAGACTGGGACGAAGATGGACCATCGTTATCGGCTCGGTCGTCTACCTTCTCGGAGGTGCTCTTCAAACTGGTGCCGCCAATCTAAACATGCTATGGGCAGGTCGTTGGCTAGCAGGAGTCGGAGTCGGATTCCTCGTTATGATCATTCCTCTATATCAATCCGAGATTGCACATCCTTCTATCAGAGGCACAATCACGTCACTGCAGCAGTTTATGTTGGGTATTGGTGCTTTTGTAGCTGGATGGATCTCTTATGGAACCTTCGTTGGACTCACAGATCAAGCTCAATGGCGTCTACCTCTTGGTCTTCAGATGCTTCCCGCTGTTGTACTTGGTCAGTCTTGCTCTGCTGCACAATGGAAACAGTACTGACGTTTTGGCTACAGGTGCATTGATCATGATGTTCCCAGAAAGTCCACGAGTAAGTTCTGTTGAGCTAGTCAAACTCAGTATGCTAATATCGAGCAGTGGCTCATTGATCACGGTCGCCCGGATGAAGGTCTTCAGACACTGGCACGCCTTCACTCCAACGGCAACGAAAATGATCCTTGGGTGCGAGCCGAGTTCGACCAGATTCAAGAAAGTATCACGCACGAACATGAGCACGAAGCCAAATCATACATCGAGCTATTTACCAATCGATCTTCGTTCCGTCGTGTTTTCATCGCCTGCGCCCTCCAAGCTTCCATCCAGATGACGGGTGTTTCTGCAATTCAGTACTACAGTGTCACCATCTACGGCGCTATTGGTATCAAGGGTTCTGATGCTCTCAAGTACCAGGCTATCAACAACATCATTGCTTTGGTCGGAGAAGCTTGCTGCGTATTGTTCGTTGATAAACTTGGAAGAAGAAGACCTCTTATTTTCGGCAACTTGGCCAACATGATCTGCTTCCTCATCGCTTGCATTTTGATTGGTATGTCATTTCATCTCCAACTCCAACATACGCTCCTACTGACGATGAAAAGCAAAATTCCCTCCTGGATCGTTGAACAACCACGCCGCTGGTTGGGGTTTTATCATCATGTAAGAATTACCTACTTCAAGCGTCCTGAATGAATAGTGTCTAATCAGATTGCAGGACCTGGCTCTACAACTTCTCTTTCTCCGCAACTTGTGGACCCCTCTCCTGGGTCATTCCCGCTGAGATCTTCGATACTCGAACCCGGTCTAAGGGTGTCTCTATTGCTACCATGGTCTCATTTGCCTTCAACACTCTTATTGGTCAAGTAACTGGCACCGCCATGACGAATATCGGGTACAGGTATTATTTTGTGTTCATTATCTGCAACTTCACCAACGCCATATTCTTCTACTTGTTCCTACCGGAGACCAAGAATTTGCCACTTGAGGAGATGAATGTAAGTATCGAGCTCCTTTGTTCTTTTTATGAGTTGAACAAACTATGGTACTAACTGGGAGTAGTACTTGTTCACCAATGCGCCATTCTTGGTTGCTGGTCACGATAAGAACAAATATAAGGCCGGATACGCAGAGGATCTTGAGAGGAGAGCCTTGGAGATTCATGATAAGAATGCTGCTGTTGGAACCCACGAAGAAAATATCGAAGAGCCAAAAAACTAAATGGTTTCGAGATAAGAATGAAAGAGGCCATTTTTGAGCAGGAGGAGAGTGTCGTAGCTTGGAATTTATCAGTGAGAATGGAAACTAATTTGTTGACATAAGATCTATTTCCTTCAATCTGAAACACCAATATAAATGATATACCAAGTGAAGCCATTTCCCCTGGCAATCAGCTCAACTAGAACCAATGATATTCAAAAGTCCTCCAATGGTCTGCAACACAGGATCCAATACCTCGCCAGTGACAGGATCCAAGCCCCTGAGTGCAGCCTTGAGCGTACTTTCAGTCAACGTCAGACCCTCGGGTAACTCTTCTCCATTTGCAATGTTCAGTTCGAAAATCACTATTATCCCGTGAGTATCTCCCTTCTTAGCTCTAAGACTTTGGATGCGACTCACTTGCTGCCAAGCTTGCGAGCGTGGTAGGCTCGGCGGTAGGTCTCCACCCCTCCTCATATGGTAGCCTCTCTTCCTCAAACAAGCTCTTCACATACTCAATCGGCGCTACCCCAGTCGTTGGATCTCCCATTGTACTCAAGTAAATAGCAGTCTCGCCATAACTGAATATGAATTGAACAGGTCCATAGGTGAAAGTCGGATCCCTGGCAGCTTCGGTCTGAACTCTATTGTACTTGACTTTGGCGGCTACTGGGATGGACGTTTCGGTCATGCCGGAGTAGTAAGCGAGGACTGTGTCCCAGATTGTTTGGTTGAATGAGTAATTGTTTCCTGTGGAAGCATCGGCGCGGGATAGGGAAGCGTCGTGTTCAATCACCATATCGTGGTGATCGAGTTGATCGAGATCGAATTCGAGAGCAAGGAAGTCGGGATTGGAGCCGATTCCAGCGGCCCCAACGAAGAGTGAGAAATCGGCTCCCGTGTTCATGCCTTCTGCTAGGCAGGAGGTGAGTAGAGGAATGGTGTAGCCTTTTCCACTGCGAGGACAGATGTCGTGGTTTGCCAGTGCATTCAATCCCGGACAGGGAGAACGCACGTCACCTGGACCAGGGCCAAGGAAAGAAGGAAAGGTTGAGTTGTCTCGTTCTGTGAGAGGAGCGGGATGGTATTCTCGTGAGACAAGTCGAGGACCTGATGCTTTTCTGGTTGGAAGATTCAAGTCTGAGAGCATGCCGGGAAGAGCAGAGGATGAGCCCAGTAAGGCCGTGACAACAAGCAAGGAATACATATTGTGACTCGTCGAAGGATATACTGAAACAGTCAAGCTGGAAGGACGAGACAAGATCAACTCTTTTCAATCCCCGAGATGAGACTCTATATCTCCATCAGATCAGATCTACATACACCATTGCTCAACCTTAACCATCCTCTCCAATCATGCACAGCACAAGAAACATGAGGTCAAGTTCCAATAGGTGACTTCACCAGCTTCCTGATCGCAGAAACAGGTAAAGATTTGCTCAAGCTTAAGTATTTTCAAGCAAGTGCGAGCCGCAAGCCGAGGTTGTGGGGCATCCTGAGAGTTTAAGCTTAAGACGGCGCAGGAAACCGTTTGTGATCGCCTGTCTAGCCCACGGACCTCGGGAGTTTTCAACTTAGCTGCCATATGGCAAGTATGAACAAGATTGAAGGTAAGTGATATGTGTTCGTGTTCCGTACAGAGGCAACTGCGAAAAGAAGCGTTGCAGGATCGTAGTCTTAACTTCTATCTTCGTGGCGAGAATTTGAGCAAGTCATTCTCAGATGTTGCCTTGTGGCATTGTTGGGTAGAAGATTAGACAGGATGTTTAAGCTCTCCGCGGCTTGCTTCTAACATCAAGTCTTGGAGTTGTACTCCGGTCCCACTTGTCCAATCCGAATGCGTCGCTAGTACATATGAATCTTGAATTACAAGATGAGAACTTTCTACACACATGGTAATTGGCAGAGCGTTGAAAGGAGGAGGTGTTTAGAAGCTGCAAGTCAGCACAATCTATCCTGGATCAACGATGCTGCAGCGTGATATCTCTCATAGCCCAATGCCTAGGTACCCTCGAAAAACTGCAAGAACCATGCGATTTAGGTGATAACGCTTGATATCAAGGCTTGGGGTAATTCATCCAGTAGTATGGACGAAAATTAACGTGGAAAGACACGGCAAGAACAATGGAACTTTGCAGATGATGAATGACCCAAAAGGGAAAGAACAAGAAATAAACAAATGAGATGAGTCCTTCGTGCCATACTGAGCCATGTCTAGAATGCTTTATCTGCTTCGAATAGAGACCGGCCGAGCTCAGCACAATCTCTAGAATCTCGGCTTTAACAACATTGGCATGCAAAGCACCAAATCCGAGTATACAGCGCTCACCAAACTCGGGTTCGTTCAAACGTCCAATTGTTTCGATACAAATGTGCCCTGGGTTCTGGAGGTTGGTGGATCATGCTGGCAGATTGGTTGACCAAGGTCCGTGAGCGAGGTTGGTCTCGGCCAGATTGTCGACTGTGTCGTCGTGTTGCAAGATCTGTCAAGTGGCTTCCTTGACGGCAATCCCGACATTTTTATCTTGTTTGGGCAAATGCAGGGCCAGCAACAAATTTGAAACATACGCAACGAGCGTTGTGCTTTGGCTTCGAAGCAGCCTCTGTAGGCTTGACCTGTCATCAAGTTCTCCGTTGCTCTGCAGTAGTAGGGCCGTCAACAGCAAAGAAAATATAACAATTAGTTCTGATTCGCAGAGGCTTTGTTGTCTTCAAGCACATTCTAGGTGTCTAATATCTAACTTTAGTATGTAGCTTAGACGCAGAGTAAACGACGAATATATTGCTAAGCCCACGTTCCCATGTGCTAGGTACAGTAGGAGAGACTCCCTTCTTCTCGTCGATGTATATTTGCAGCGATCCTAGGAGACGATTCAACAGGTTGGAGATGCCTTGGCCCACTCACTGCGAGGAGGAATGGGAAGAGTGTTGGCTTCCATCTATCTCAGGCACAGTGATGGCTATATGCAGGTGATGGTTGGATCACTGCCGTCTTGTGGTGGGAAAGTTGATGGCCGTGAAAGTGCAGTGTTGAAAAGATACAAAATCATTCGTATTACCCAGAGAACGGTTTATATCTACCGATTTTGCGTCCTCTTCGACACTTGGCCGACCGTTGGCTAATAAGGAGTGGGACTGTTTGTTGAAAACAGGTTGCCCGCCGTTTTTGAAGCCTGAAACACAATTAGTACTATACTCTGTTCTTGGAAGACGGTAGTTAGTTACTCCATGTAAGCTTTCAACGGATGAGAAGTGTCGAATCTTTCTTAGAGTGATTGACTGATAGAGTAACAATCTCGTCGTGCTTTGTCCGACAGACCTTGAAAGACACCGCTCCTTCGCTTCTCCGCAAAGCATTGATGAGAAATCCAAGTTCCCCAGATTCAGATTAGAATAGAATCCGTCTATACGGCACGCGACAGTAAGACACCCGCATCGCGGAGTACTGGAGCCCCCCGACTGATCGTGAATTCTTTTCGGGTTGCTTCTTTAGGAAATGCCATCAACACGCTTCGGCGTGAGACGGCTTTCACGTAATTAACTGTAAGTCATGTGGGTGGCGGGTTTCACAAACTGGAGGACGGACGGAATCTTCTCCATGATGACATCAAAGGCGGAGGAGGCATCTCAGAATTTGGGGCGAAAAAGGCATCCTCCTGCGACTTCCATCTGATTGGATTTCGTCCGCAACCGTTTTCTCGTCCTGCATGAGTACGAAACGAGTATGAGCATGAGCCGCGAGGGAAAGGATGACCAGATTGGGCTTTCCGGGACTGCATCGATGGGGAAGAGACCAGGGCCTTCTCCACTCCCCACACTCTGAAGGGAGCTTCCAGGTTCCAGGTGTCGGGAAGCCAGCGATGGCGGACGACTACCTATCCAGCCGACATCCTTCAATTCGGGCCTTACTGTAGTCTTTAGCACAACTCAACCATCCCAGGATTAGCAATAATCCACAGATGGAGTGAGAAATTAAGAATCGAACGAGCATTCATCGCAGCTTACTCCACAATACGGGGAATCATTCTGGAGTCGTGAGTGGCCTGAGGGGATGACGGCGCGGACGAGTCAGGCCAAGGTTTAGAGCCCGTCGAGTGACTAGGATCGGGCTGGGAACAGAGCGAAAACTCTGCTTGACGAGCGAGATGAATCTCCAGATGTCAGCGAAGACACGACGAACGCTGTCGGGATGATCTTATCTGCTCTCGGAAGTTACGGTTGAGTACAAGCGTTTCTTGTGGCAGGCGCCGATGCTTTTTTTCTCCATAAGAGAGTGATCAACATCCTTCTTTCCTCCTTGCTATTTCTCTCTCAACTGTTAGTCTTTGTATCTGGTTCCCTGGCTTTGTATCCAGTCCGATACTTCATTTCTATACTTTGAGATATCACTTGGAAGGCTACAACATGTTCGGTGGGAGGTACTTTGGCCTTCGGGGTCAACGGCTTACACTTGCCGTCAATATCATTGCTGGTCTTGATTTCTTGTAAATCTCCTTGCGTGGAAAAGCAATATCGTGAAGCTACGACTGACCTACTCCCAGTCTCTTCGGCTATGATCAAGGTGTGATGGGAGGCTTGCTCACTCTCGGGAGTTGGGTAAAGCAGTTCCCTGAAATTAATACCGTCGACAATCCAGGGTGAGTGACAGAACGGCTAGACAGGCATCACTCAAGTAGACGCCTCTCGATGACATTTCTCACCCTTTATCTAGATATCTTCCAATGCTAATATCTCCAACAGCAACACTCACATATCTACAATACAGGGCATCTCCGTAGCAAGCTACAATGTTGGCTGTTTCGTTGGTGCTATCATCACCATATTCATCGGAGATATCCTTGGACGAAGAAAGATGATCTTCCTTGGTTCATCTATCATGGTCGTTGGTGCTATCCTTCAGTGCACAGCCTTTAGCCTAGCCCATTTGATCGTCGGAAGAATCATTACGGGCTTCGGGAATGGGATGAACACTTCCACCGTACCAACTTGGGCTTCCGAGACGTCCAAGTCTCATAAACGAGGCAAGATGGTCATGATTGAAGGGGCCATGATTACCGGTGGAATTTGCCTGAGTTACTGGATCGACTTCGCCTTCTCATTTTTGGAGCCAAGCACGGTCTCCTGGCGATTTCCGATTGCTTTCCAGATTGTCTTCGCACTTCTGTTGCTAGCTTTCATCCTCGAGCTTCCGGAATCCCCAAGAGTGAGTAAGAGAAATGCCAGAAGCGTTCCTCCTCGCTAACAGGTGAAAAGTGGCTCATTTTGAAGGGCCAGGAGGATGAGGCCATGATGGTCATTGCTGCACTGGCTGATCTTCCTCCTGAAGATCGACTCGTAACCACAGAATTCGTTGAGATCAAGGACACGGTTATCGAAATGAAAGAGCACGGATGGGCAGATCTTTTTACCATGGGCCCAGAGCGAAACTTCCACCGTGTTGTCCTTGGTTATGTCAACCAAGTCTTCCAACAAGTACGTCCAAATCATCATTGCTCCCCGTACAACTAAGGAGCCGGAGTTCTCTAGACACTCTTTCAGGAGAGCTTACCGGCTCTTTGAACTTTTCGTGGAATAAATACTGATTTGTCTATAGATCTCAGGTATCAACCTTATTACCTACTACGCTGCAACTATTTATCAGCAATATATCGGATTGGGTGGAACCACTGCTCGGGTCCTCGCTGCCGCAAACGGCACAGAGTATTTTATCGCCTCTTGGGTCGCTGTCTATACAATTGAAAAGTTCGGGCGACGGAGTCTTATGCTGTTCGGCGCTGCTGGTAGTAAGTATAAAGCTCGCTCTTCACTTCATATTCTATCAGGCTCTCGGAAGATGCTTGATGAGTACTCATTCAACTTTTGGTCGAGTCATGTATGGCACCTGCCCTTACGGACTTCTGAACGAAAGGACTATTCCCACCTGTTGAATGAGATTGCTTCAACAAGAGCTTCCGATAATTCTTTAGCAGCCCATACTAAATTCATGCAGTGTCTGGTTCGATGGCTATCCTCGCCGGCATGAACTACATGTCACAGAACAACCTTGGTGGATCCTCTCCTGGTATTGTTTCCGCGGTATTTTTGTTCGTATTTAATACGTTTTTCGCTGTCGGATGGCTCGGCATGACTTGTGAGTCTCCTCTCATCCCTGCAGACAATCATTTCTAATCTCTCAGGGCTCTACCCCGCCGAAATTGTTCCTCTTAAGATCAGGGCTCCAGCCAACGGTCTATCGACGTCGGCAAATTGGGCTTTCAACTTTATGGTCGTTATGATCACCCCCGTCTCCTTCTCGTCCATTGGCTACAAGACCTATGTTATTTTCGCCGTCATCAATGCCGCCATTTTCCCTGTTGTGTACTTCTTCTATCCCGAGACAGCTTATCGCTCTCTAGAAGAGATTGACAACATCTTCAGAAAAACCACCAAAGGCTTCAGGGGATGGTTCGACGTCGTGCGTACCGCCAAGAACGAGCCTCTTAGATACGGAAAGCATGGAGAGTTGCTCATTGATTACGAGCATACCGAACACGTCAGAAGACAGAGCTTGGCAACTGCTGGGAAGGCTGAAAATAGGGGCGTTGAGGATATCAGTGGAGAGAGTTCAATGAACGAAAAGAGAGCAGAGAATGTGTAGATGGACAGTGAGGATGGCGAAGGACAAAGAGAAGGAGAAAACACTAATGGATACCCACTATGATATTATATAAATTGAACTTTCAGCCTCTTGATCTTTACAATGGTAATGTGATCTTAATGAATTTGATTGACAAGGCACCAAAACTGTTTTCGGATGATATCCTCTCAGGGGAAAAAATTTGTTGGAGAAAAGAGAAATTTGTGCCGGCGAATTGTTCCTGCAGAATACATTTAAAATTTTATAACTTTTCGAATCTGGGCTTGGTCTTTTTCAGTCCAGAAAGCATGGCTCTCTCAACATCGCTCGTTTGGAGAGCCGCCGAATTCCACACCCCAGTATATCTCAACGAATCAGCCAAATTGTGATCCCTTGCGTGATTCAATAATTCTTTCGTCCCCTGGACCGCGACCGGACTCTTCGTTGCCAGCAACTCGGCCATCTTCAAAGCAGCCTCGACAGCTTTCTGCTTGGTCTCTAGAACTTGACTGACGAACCCCACACGGTATGCTTCTTCTGCGCCAAATACTCGGGCCGACATTGCGACGTCCTTAATCCACGAAAAGTTGCCTACTATCTTCGGAAGGCGGGAAAGTGTTCCTATGTCTGCTGCCAGACCAATATCGACTTCCTTAACGGCGAATTTCACGTCGGAACTGCAGATTCGAATGTCGGCGCAGGTAGAAATGTCGATAGCAAGCCCAAATGCAAAACCATGCATCACGCATATAACAGCTATTTCCCAATGTCAGTAAACGATTCAATCATCGTGTGAGTACCAATGTCCGACTCAATGGACGAACATCGGCACAGAAGAGAGAGTACGTACGTTTTTCACACTTCTCTGCACTACTTATACAAGCCTGAAACTCTTCAACATGTCTCTTGATAGATGTTGCTTTCCTAGCCACGTCTTTCTCTTCCGCCGATTGTGCTAATATGCCGGACTGGCTTGCGGCTTCTACGTCCAAACCAGCAGTAAATGCTCGGTCTCCAGCGCCGGAGAGGACTATGGCTCGAACGTCGGGAGAATGCGAGAGGGTGTCGAAGATGGTCTTGTATTCTAGCCACATTTCCTCGTAGAAGGCATTTAATTTCTGCGGGCGGTTGATCTGTACATGGCAGACGTAGGGAGAGGGTTGGGTGACTAAGAAGTATTTATAGGTTGGGGAAGCCATCTTGAGCTGATGGGGTGGATCTTGAGGAGTGGCTTCGTTCTGAGGAGGGCGTAAGAATCGGAGTGAGCTTCAAGAACGCTGGATAGATGGGTGTTTGGGTCAATTATTGGAGGATTAGTTTGACATTGTCGAGTCGAAATGTCCATCCCAGGGTAAGCTCACAAGGCTGAGTGATCAAGAAGTCAAGAAAGCCGAGGCACAATCGGCCCGGAATTGATCCGTGCTCATAATTCACACGTGAGCTCCTCTCGGCTGACAAGGGGGTCAGTGGAACTTCTCGTTCCCTTGCGTCGTGATACTTTACTTATATGCATCTAGAAATCTCGTTGTTGTGAGTGTTTGGCAGTCCAACAGCAGAGTTTGAGGTTATCCTTGCGTTGTTTGAGGCTTCAATACGTTGCTTCCTATGCTGTCAGCATCTTTTTGGGCGCTCCTTCTCACTTACCTTCTCCTTAACTCCTAAGCCAGTCGCGCATCGAAAAATTGAAACAGGTGAGAGTTGGCCTGAAAACTAATGCGGAAAGCTCTGCATGACTTCGATTTTGGGGAGCGAGAGTCATGTTTATGTCTTGCGTCTTTGCATCCTATTCAAAGCTGTTCTCAATCGTACAGCTTCGATTGGCTAAGAATACGTACTCCTGTTGCGATTCCTTAAGACCCCAATTGGGACCAATACCATGCACTATAGTTGCCAAGGTTGGCCCGCAAAGCTAATGCTCTCTCCGCCTCCCGCTTTACAAGCCTATCACTGCGCGATGTTGCCTTTAGGATTTGGGTGCAGCTAGTTTTCCCCTAACCCGACATACCTTTGGAAGGCCACTATCCTATGAGAGCTGGAGACTCATGAGGCGGCGCTCATGGCCCGAATCCAAGTCCATTCTATGCCTGGGTTTGATTGAGATCACTGGGTAGACCTGAAGCTTTTGCTTGAGTGGTGGGAGTGGTTCTAATCATAACGCTCATGATCCAAACTCGGCGTCTGTACCTTCAGTTCGACTCTTCCTTTCCATTAAAGACTTCTATGTGGCCGATAGGCCCGATGGACCGATGCGGAAGGCACTCAAGGGTGGAAAGGCGCTAAAGTGACACTCGTCCTTTCCTTCCCGTTGCGTAAGAAGACGTTTTTACATCTCTTGTTTCCTAGACCCTTCTTTGTGATAATTTCCATAATGACAATGGCTCAATCCAGCACTCAAACCGTCTCTATAGAAAATGATAAGAGTTCCAAAGATGTTCCCTGGTACAGTAAGGACATGACCTCGCAGCTGGGAGCGCCCGCCCGTGATCTGCTGGAAAGGTACAGCAAGATACCTGCGGACGAGGTTGAAACCCACATTTACTCCGTGGTATGTTGCTTCAAACCTCGATACTGCATGTGAGCTGACGTTATTACAGCGCGATGAGGCTTGGCAAGTCTTCCCTTATCCATGTATCGGTCAATTCCGTTTCCTCGACCTTGGTAAGTAGCTTCTTCGAAGCAACGCTCTCACTTGGACATTTCATTCCTATTCATACTTGCTCCAAAGAAGGATGGCTAACTCTGGGATCTGGTGCTAGGTATTAGCCTCAATCCGAACTACGAGACTGTCCTCGAACGCTTGAAGACGGGCAAAGAGAACTTCCTTGATCTTGGATGTTGTTTCGGACAGGATCTCAGGAAGCTGGCTGCTGATGGAGCGCCATCTGAGAATCTCTATGGTGTCGATCTTCGCCCAGAGTTCTTCGACATGGGCTACAAGTTATTCCGAGACAGGGAACTTCTGAATGCCAACTTCATTGTGGCAGACTTATTCGACTCGAACAGCGATCTACACTCGTTGAACGGAAAGGTAGACATCATCTCCGCTGGCTCGTTCCTACATCTCTTCAATTATGAAGGTCAGATTGATGCTTGCAAAGTTATTGTCAGGCTTCTGAGAGAAACAGCAGAGGGTTCGGTGTTGATTGGTCGTCAAGTTGGGAGCTCTGAGGCGGGTGAGGTCGTCCATCACTCGAACCCGGGCCAATCCTTGTTCAGACACAACTCGAACAGTTTTAAGAAGATGTGGGAAGAAGTTGGGGGACAGACACCAAGTGGACTGTCAAAGTGGAAGAACATGTGGAAACATCAGATGTCGGAGAAAAGAATCATTGGGGTGATACTGAGTTGCGTGTCATTACATTTGCGGTGTTCAGAGATGCTTGAATCCCGGATGGCTTGTGTTGTGTATGCTTAGTATAAGCTTTCATTTCTTTACGATGCGAGATGCAATATAGCGATACGAAAAGTTTGCTAGCAACCCTCAGACTCAAACATCATCGGAAACATAAAGAGTTCGGGTGTCGACCAAAGATCTGGCATCGTTGACTACCTATTCTTGTGGATATCGGTCCTCGAGTCGGAAGATTCAACGATTACTACTACAAAACCTCTCTAGTGCAGGCAATGCTATCAATCTCATCCAATATTCTTTGCATGAGCTTTTCCATCAAATCATTACCAACAACCCCCTCTTGCCAACTGAATCCAAGAGACAGACAGCCATCCATTCCGCTTACGACCCCAACTGCAATCGCACTTCCAGACACAAAAGCACTCCTACCGAACACCACTCTTCCCATAGTCCAATCTGACCCCTCTTGTTGCCCTGCTTTGATACCGCCGAGATTCGAAACGTCAAAACTTGTGCCTCTTTCCTTTCCCACCCGCGACAAGAAGAATTCTCTCATGTCCTTGATCTTCTGGAACTTCGCCACGTTAATACACTGTCCGTCACTCTTCAAGTACTCGCTGATCGTCTCTCTTGATCTTCGCGCTTCGTCCCAGGAGAAGGTAGACACGTTCTCACGGTGGTAGTACTGAGAGAATGCATCAATCCAGACTCCGAATGAATCCTCGTTTATGATATTTGGCATCCAACGGCGGAGGCTCACAGGTACGGTGCATTCTACCTCGTCGAAACTGGCTTCAATGTTCTCCATCAGTGCTATAGCCATGATGACGGGAATTGTGGCCGTGACGGTTGTGCCGTGCGACTTGCAGGCTTGGACGAATCCTTGGCTTGTGGATTGAGAGAGGAAGAGTGATCGGAAATGGCTCTGTGTTGGCATCGTGACTTCTCTACCAGACCAGAGGTTGGCATGCACAAGGGCTGGCTTTGGAGTTTGTATGGGAAGCGGGTGCAGAAGTTCGAGGTTGGGAAGAAGGTCTGTCTGGCGAGGATGTACAACAGTGCTCACCAAAGCAAGGGTCTTGTCTTGAAGGCCAGCGAGAAAGTCTTTGTGAAAGACCAGCCCTGATGCTCCATCACCTAGGCTGTGATGGAAAATGAAAGACGCAACGAACTCCACGTCTGAGTTTGTGACGATGATCAGACGCCAAAAAGGCAGCTTGCCAAAGCTCGTCTTGAAACCTTTGTTGTGCTGATCTTCTAGAATGCGGTCAATCTCAATGTCCGTTTGGTCCTTGATATAGGTCGTTTCACGTTTAAGGAACGTTACTGCCTCCCGAATGTCGATACTAGGAAGGCGCGCGAAGTATGGGTTGGGAGAGTCTTCATCTATGACAATGGCCAATAGTATAGGGTGTTTTTGGACAACGGCTGCGACTGCTTTGAGAATGACATCTTCCAAAGAACTCAAAGCATTTACCTCTGTCACATGAGAATATGTAGCCGATATCCCAACATTGTGGTAGAATCCTAGGTGATGTCTCGCGGATGAGAACTGCTCGAGCGCACCTGCAGACAGTTAGATAAACTTTGTAAGTGCAAGATCCTGGGCATTGTATGGCACTCACCTAGTGGACGTAATTTTTGGAATCGATCAATGTTTGCGGTTGGGGAACCCATCTCAGACATCGTGGGCTATTTGGCTGTACCAAGAGTTTGCAAATTGCTTAGATTGAGGAATTGAAAGGCAATAAACCACACAGCACACACGTAGGATGAAGATTGTGGACTGAGAATTGATACTTGGAGTACAGATGGACGATTTAGAATTACAGTAGGACTCTCAAGGCCAATGTCACCACTTTTCAAGAATCAACTGTTACACGGATCGACAGTCACTCGAATTCTTGTCCCTACAAAAGTGAACGGTTTCGGAGCGTGCGAGAATGGAAGGGGAGAACAGACATTATTTATTTATGGGAGAAGTAGCACCACGAGTAGGATTTAGATGAGTCATACTCTACGTTGGCGGCGTATTGCCGTCAGAACCCCTGAAAGGCGTCTCGGCTACTCCGTAGCGTAACTTACCTAAGCAAGGCAAGCAAGCGCCAGAAGCATCAATAACACGGCATGGGCCTCTGATCAGAGCACCATGCACTCTCATGTCTGATTCTGTTCTCAATGCACTCAGACTTCTTCACGTGGATGAGCTCTTGTAATATGTCGCAGACTCGCAGTGCGTCCAAGCTGCCATATAGCAACATTCATTGTAGGCTGCTGGATCACAATATTATCTCGTACCTAATGAACAAGTGAAGAGCCGCTCAATTGGGACTCGGAGATAGCAATACTTCGGGGTCCCCTACTGCAGGTGCTTCTAATTCTCTAAATCATTCTGCAACGCCGCTTTTCTCCTTCGAGATGCGCGCTACATCTTCTATATTTTGCTCAATTACGCCGATTGGGTCGAAAGACTTCATCTCCTCCTGGATCTCCTTGGCTCGCATGCTGTATTTCGTGTCCCCCAAGATGGCCATGACCGCATCATAAAGTGCTTCGGTACTTGGCTGATGCGTCTCGAGGTTGATGCCGACACCAGCCCATGCAACTCTACACATCCAATAAGTTTAATGGCTTCATCAAAAGGAGTCCTTGGATAGATGGCACTTAACCTACCGCATGGCATTCTCAGGTTTGTCAGCACCAACACCGCCTACAATCAGAGGCACCCCGTTTCCCAGTGCATGTTGGACGGATCCATACCCACCATTCGTGACAAAAACATCAGAATACTGAAGCATTTCATCATATGGGATAAAATCCGCATATCTAGAATTCTGCGGGACACCGAAATCTTCGGGCAGCTTGGCATTTTCCTTCCCAAGCGCTGCAACGACGAGCACATCCTCTTGGTCCTTCATTGCCATCATTGTAGGAATAATCAATTGCGTAGCGTCCATCGCGATTGTCCCTTGGGAAACAGCAACTATCCGCTTTTTCTGGGGATTAACTGCAATATCATTCCACCAAGCAGGGGTTGACTTCATAGGATCCCTCAATCCTGGTGGTAACCCACCCGAAAAGCGAAGGCCTGCAGGAGCATCTGACCTGGGGTCTTGACACGAACATTAGATGTGAAGATACGGAAACGGAGCACATGTTGTTTCGGAACGACTTACACTCTATCGAGGGCGCACACATTTGGATGAATCGATCCGCACAATGAAAGGATACATCGCTCCACCATAATCCGGGATTTTTGGCTCCATTTTCTCGGAGAATCTCTTCCCATCTAGCTTGTGATTTCGTGTACTTTTCTTTGTCTTTCCTGGTAAGTTCAACGTTCTCTATTCTTCCAGCTTCTGATTGATCTACTCTCGAACCACTTTTCCATGGCGCGGTATCAATACTGGTGAGCCTCATAATGGGTACTAGGACAAATTAGCAAAGATTTCATGGAGAGAATATATCGCAAAGCACAGCGGCAGAAAGCAACTTACCAACTCCGATACCAATTTGGCCAATGGGTCGTATATCTCCTGCACCAAGCAATGTGGGCAGCGTGCCTCTGAAAGCGCTTTCGAAAAGAACCATAATCCGATCTCTCGGATTCTCCGCCGTCATCTTTTGCAAAGCTTTCTGGACGCCTAGATGCTGCGGTGGGATCCATCCTATGAATGTCTTCAACATCAGGGCATCCCCAGATGGTGGTGGTATCACCTTGACAAAGGTTTCGATCAATTCAGCTAGTCTTACTTGAGTGATATCGGCTTCTCCATCGAGGGGAACGAAAGAAGCGCCAATCGCCTCAATCTGCGCCTTGTAATCAGAGCCTGTCAACACTGTAACATCATAATTTCTCTGAACAAGCGCCGACGCAACAGCCTTGATTGGCATTACATGGCCGTAGATCGGAGTAATACATATTAGGAGCTTTATTTCCGAAGAAGGCATTGCAAAAAAGTGAAGGTTTTGACATATAAACCGAAAAGGCACAGTTGAAGTGACTTCAAAGGACTTGAAGTTTGTCGCAAGGAAGGAGATCCTGACATGGCTCAGTATCAATTGAAGGCGCTGCCGCTCTCAGATCCGCTTGCGCGTCCGCCCTCACGTCAGCATCCTCGCAAATCTACCAATTCCGATAGAACGGTCATAGAACAAGCTTCAGATTGTCACTAGCGACGCCACAGAGAGATAGTATAGGGCACTCTGTAACAGCACCATCAAGACAAGAGACTCGGGGCGCAAGTGCAAGACCAGGGGATTCAATGATAAGATATGAAAGATATTCCATAGTCCTTGAATCTACTCTGTCCAAGTACAGTCTAACTAGTAGAGAACGTATGGCTTGCACAATCTGAGTCTGTAACCACCTGGGTTTCTGAGGGATTTCGGCTGCTTTCTTGTGGTAGTAGAGTCTGAAGTGCCATGGGAATATTAAACCAATCGAGAAACCGGGGTACATTAATACCTGTTGTAGATGATCAGCATTTAATGGCAATAGTTCAGGGCAGGTTGGAGGATAATAGCACTATACTGAGAATCTCAACCAGGTCTGTTAAATCACTGGACTGGAAATCGAAATGCAAATGCAAAAGCGGATGCAACAGAAAACAAGAACAGAAACTAATTGCGCTCCAAGCTTGCATCTCAAGGGACAATTCGTCGAAATCGTTGAATGCAGATCTCATGGGTAAGTTCGAATATTTCTAACATGGCCAGAGATGCCTCTTTAAGTTGAAAGTATAACTTCGTTCCAACCCTGTGTTCACCTACAAGCTCTTTTCAACCGCATCCAAATCACCCACGCACTCTTCCCAATTCTCCCACTCTTTATCACCCCCTGGAATGCCGCCAGTAAGAGGGAGTCTTGTACCATCACGATCACCCATGCCAAGTATTCTGCTAATTGCCTCCTTGATGCCAACCGTTCCAAATTTTACCACAAGCTCCTCGACTGCGCTAAGTTTGTACTGCAGAAGCCTTCTTTCCTTGACTTCTTCATCTGTTGGTCGATTGTTGACCGAAAGTTTGTACAAATGCACGACAGATTTAGGAAAGAATCCGGCCGTTCCATCTATAGTTCCTGCACAACCAAGCGAGATCACTGGCAGAAGCTGTTGCCCTAGGCCAGTAAATGTGTGAAAATGCGTGTGATCGATCTTTGGATTCGCTCCGATTTGTGCATGATATGATACATCGCCATGAGACAATTTGCAGCCAACAATATTCGGATGTTTCGAAAGGGTGGCATACGTAGACGGTACTACTTTGACGTTGTTCGAGACTCCAGGGTAATGGTAGCTATATATGTCAGGACAGAATTGCAGGAGAGTAGAAGGTCGGCTTACACCATGACAGGGATTGGACTCTGATCAGCAACGGCTGTGAACCACTGGATGATGCCATCCTGCGTACTTGCACCTGCGAAGTACCCAGGAACCAGACAAAGTCCCCACTGGCAGCCAGCTTCTTTGGCACTCTTCAGCTGCTCGACGATTTCCTCGATATTTTGGGCTGCAGTTCCTGCAATAAGAGGATAGTCTTTGAATCCAGCATCCTCATACGCTTTCCTGACCGACGACAAGACTGCAAATCGTTCCTTGTTCGAGAGATGTACTGCCTCACCAGTACTACCCAGGACCACAAGACCAGTAATTCCTGACTTAGCAAGGTGCAGAGAATGTGCAGCTTGTGTTTCCAGGTCAAGAGGAGCTGCAGTGGGGCTGTAGTTGGCAGCTTTCTTCGAGACGAAGAATGTCGGTACAGGGACGTAGATACCGGCAGGGGGAGGAGTCGCCATGTTTCGTAGCAAAAGATCATTACAGTATTTCGAAAAGCAGATTATCGAAGTGTCCCGAGAGTATATAGTAAGACAGTTGGCTGGATTTCCAACGCGTGTGCCGAAATCGCCATAGTTCGGTGGAAAGGGCAGCGAAAGCCCCCACAAGCCATTGTGGTTAGGGGTGGACAGAAGGTGGGGTAGTCTCCAGGGAAATGCGATATTTGATCAAGAGATCATGGACGTTGAAGCTCGCTGGCAAAAATACATTCGTTTCTTCATAGTATTAGAAAAGAAGAAGAAGAAGCTGCACATGCTTCTTGGTACTGTATGAGTAGCATAAAGGATGGCACGGACTACCTGCTGATCCCAGGGTTCGTGATTGGTCTCTACACCCGACTGACTCTGGAAGGATTCTGCGAAATGTACCCTCTTGCGACCATCAAATCATTTGATACATCCTCAAGTACGTGGGCGGCGTGAAATTTGAGTTTGTGGCAATTCGATTGACTCGGAAGCTGTTACCACATTTTTGTGTCATTGAGTGGGAGCTCCAAAATGCTCACCACTTCTCACCCTCGATCTTCAACATATCACCAGGATAGGATGTTCAGAAGTCTCGATGCCTTGGAATATGAGTTCCCATCTCATCATTCATACTGAGCAGTCTTGGCCACCATCCCCTTCGCAGAAGTCGAGAGCTACCCTTCCACGATGACTGCGCCGAGCCACTCCTGATTCTCCATCTCCACAAATATATGTTTTTTGAAAGAGCTATATACTCAGCAACTGTAACACGACTTTTTGGTATCTCTTTGAACAAGGACAAAATTACATCAACTCCTCGATTCCATACGCCTTGATTGCAGTTCCACTCCATATCATAATTTGCTCCGCCTGACTCAAACTTGCCAGGTCACAAAACCTTTCCACAACTTGTCTCCACTTCTTCCAAGCATCGTCAACACCGATTGTACAGACTGGCCAGTCTGATCCAAACATAATTCTGAAAGGTCCAAAAGTTGCCAGTATAACGACGAGGTATGGCTGCAAAGCAAGGAATATCTCATCCACGGGAGCTTTCTTCAATGCATCTGGCATTTCCGAGAAGCAACCACTCAGCTTCAGAAAGGTTTTGCTGCACTTGCTAAGCTTGAACATTGCTGTCCTCCATGCCACGAACTTGGGATCCGTTTGGTTATATACCGAGAGGTCGGGCTTGCAGAGATGATCTACGATGTGTTAGCAGCTCTCCAGTACTAGGTCATTGGGGATACTCACTGATTATGAAGGTCACCTTTTCTTCCTCCGGCACATCTTCATGAGCTTTCTCAATCATCTCCACGGCCTCCTCCAATTGCCACTTCCCACCGCTATGCTGATCAACGCCAAGATCAAACACGTATCCATTCTTGCCTAGCCATTTGAGCCCCTCAATGAAGCCATGCTGCAGCATAACGCCTCTCGGCTTGTCTTGCACGAGATATCTGAAACCCTTTATTTTCGAAAAGGAACTCTCAGCATGCTTTTCCACTTCCTTGACATAGCGCTGCAGGACATCTGCGCCACTAGGTAGAGGTGCCCAGGGTATGATAGCCAAGCATAGCTTCTTTTGCCCTTCGCTGTGTCCTTCTCCATCTCTAGGAGTTCCGAGTGCTACTCTCTTCAACCACTCCACTTCCATCAATGGCATTTCCCAACCACGTCCATCCTCAGCTCCGAGCTTGAGATCATGTTTACGATCGGTCTCGAGGAATATGAAGCCTTCAAATGATGGAGGGCATCCTGTCGCAGCTTCGTACTCGTCGAGGGAGTGTTGTTTGTGTAGCGGGTTGGACGGTGAGCACCAGGCGAGCGTCTCTAATTCAGATTCTGGAAAGAGGTGGATGTGAGAGTCAATGACCGGGAATTCGACATTTTCTTCGGCCATGATATTGAATTTGCCCTGGACTAGTGGTAAGACGGGTGTGAAAATTCCAGTCGTGTAATGCAAATAATCTGATGAGTATTTTGTTTGCTTCTTTGTTTGCTCCTGCCCCTCCATCACCGGGCAAATCTCACCCGAAGCCCGATGGCTTAAACGTTCATCTTATCGATAAGATATATGCCGAGAAGTAAGGAGGGGTGGCTTTAGAGTGGCGTCAAGGTGGTGATGTCTTCTGCATCCAACCTCAATTACCTGTGTGTATCAGCAAGTCATAATCAATACAGTTCTCGAGATGTCTTATGATACTACCGGAATTGAGTACTTCACAGTTCCCAATTTCAAATTCGCAGGTGGGACGTCAAAAGATGTCAAAATCGCCTATCGTTCATTCAACCCCACTTCTCCCAAAAAAGTCCTTATTCCAACTTGCTATAGTGGACGTATAAATACTACCCTGAACTTTACTTCGGGAGCTTTAAAGGATTACAATGTTATTGTCGTTGCTATGCTTGGGAATGGCGAGAGTTCTAGTCCCTCTAATGACAATGACTTCCCGAGTGACTACTCGCTTCGATACCAGGTACGAAGTCTCTTTCACGTTGTCTTACTACTAATTCTGTGTTCGATGACCCAGGCTGATTATGAGCCTTAATGAACAGGACTGCATAAATTCTCAATATGAATTGCTTACTCAACATCTGGGCGTTAAAAGCTTGGATGCTGTCATTGGCTTCAGCATGGGAGGACAACAGGCATACTACTGGGCTGTGATGCATGGCTCAGGTCCTGATCCATTCCTTAAGCATGCTGTTGCAATCTGCGGAAGTGCTAAGACATCTGGTCACAACTATGCATTCTTAGAGGGTCCAACATCTGCTCTGATTGCTAGCAAGGACTACGATGGAGGAAGGTACAGGCAGAATGGTGTCAAGCCTACACAAGGCTTGCGAGCTTTCAGCAGAGCTTATGCTGCTTGGTTGTCCAGCCCGGAATGGTTCAGACAAGAGCTCTGGAGGAGCACCGGTGCTGCGAGTTTGAAAGATTACCTTCACCCCCCACCTGGCAAAGGACCACATGAAAGCTGGGATGCGGAAGACTTGCTTGTTTTGGCCAGGATGTGGCAAGCTGGTGATGTGGGTTCTATAGCTGGGAATGGAGATTATAAGAAGGCTTTAGAAGGAGTTACGGCCAGAGTTTTGGTTATGCCGAGCAAGACAGACCAGTATTTCCCTCCTGAAGATGGAGAAGAGGAGGTCAAGTACTTGAAACATGGTACTTTTGATCCTATTCCGACAATTTGGGGGTAAGTCATTTTCCAGATTGTTACTCTCCCTCCCTATGTTGGCTTTTGAAATTCTTGTCTTGAGTAATGGCGATTTCTCGATTTGTTACTACGTCTGAAACATCCTTCGATTCTTAATACATGGAAAAGGCTAGATTAATACTGATCCCCGATATATAGGCACCTAGGAGGCGGAGGGGCTAATCCTGTCGATGTGAAGTGGATGGATGACAAAATATCTACTTTCCTGATGGAGGGAAATATGTCTAAGCCTCCTATGCATGAAGCCTTTGGGAAATGAGAAAATTTCACAGCGAATAACAAGTAGCACAAGTGCACAATAATCAATGCATGATAGATGGGACGAAAAACTTTCATTCTTTCCAAATAACTAACGCCTACTCTATGATCTGAGGTATATCCCGAGCACAACTTCAGTGTGTTCTGGGTATTTTGATTGTAACGCCTGAAATTCCATCCCGTCTGTCTGTGTATGTTGTGCAGAGCTATATCTTCATCTTTATCGTCTATCGTCTATTGGTGTATAGAAATCGATGTTCTTAGACGTCTGGAGTTCGAACTTCAGGAGTGTTCGACTCGCTGACTTCCACGATCGGGGTCTTGACTCCCACATCGCCATTCAAAGTGGAAAGATTCTTCAGGGCCAAACTGTTCATGGCGATGTCTCCACCGGCTTCCTTCATTTTCTTTGAAAATTCACGCTTCATGCCGTGCTTCACGGCATCAAGAACGGTGTTGACGGTGACCTTTGGCTTATATGCAGGCTCGGTGCCTTCTTGGAAGACACCAGTTCGGACCAGGATAGAGTACCATTCGTTCTTTGCCTTAGCATTGAACTGGTTGGTGCCTCGGATATCACTTTCAGGGGTGTCGCCGACAAAGTAGACGGTCTCGGGAGGTCTGTTGATGCGATGCTCGTCCTTACGCCATTGCTGCAATAAGCGAGTAGCGAACTCGAACGTTCCTATTTGTGGCTGTGCAGAAAAGAAGAAATTAGCGAAGAAGTGGAAACGAGACAAGAGATCGAGAAATAAGGCAAATTGACCAATAGCAAGGATAAACAGAAAAGGAGTTCACCTACTTTCCCAAATGCAATAGTCTCCAGTTCTTTGCCTCTGGTGACATCCTTGAAAAGCATTTCGACCATCTTTCGGAGAGCTCCCATGCCTAGCCGAACGTTGTCGTGAGCTGCGGACCAGACAATGTCGTTGTGAGAAAAGTAGATTGGTGGTCCCTCGTCGAAAGTCTCTGAAAGGGTACCGATATAGCCTCCCTTAGACATGGCGAGATCCAGCATAATTTGAATATCGCCAGCCCAGTCACGACTATCGGCAAAAACACTGCAATGTCGTTAGCAGTCTGGGCGTGATAGTTCGAAGTTGGGGCGAGAAAGTGCTTACAAGATAGCCTCAATCTTAGTCTCACCGTAGTTGCGAGTTCTAGAGTTTGCCTTCTCCTCTGCAGTCAACTTCCGGAATGGCGTGGTGTGTTCGTTGTCTTTGATGATGTCTCCAGGAGTGATGACATCGCGGAAGCCATAGCCTTCGGCTACTTGCCTGCACTTCTCTCCTTCACCACCAACAACCAACACAGTCTCGTACTTCTCCACCATCTCTCGCATGGGCGTATGTCCTGCATCGAGATGAGTACATAATGCAACAAATCAACAAAGACATGCTTACCACAGATAAATTGGGCTGGAGAGACTTCGATATCGAGCTGACGAGATAAATCAATACACCGTTCTGCTTCTGTCTTGCCCCCACCATTGGTCAAGAAGATGTACGGTACTTTCATGCCGTACTCATTCTCGCCGTTAAGGACCTTCATGGCTTCGATGGCTTCTGGGAGAGGCCGGCCACCACGGATCAGCACTCCATCAATGTCAAAGGCGAACGCAAACGAATCTGCAGTTGGAATGTCTGCAGGTGTGATGGGTGAGCCAGGGGTTTCTGGTGTGCTCGAGGAAGGCGAAATAAGAGCTTCTTCCTCGAGATCCATAGCATCCAGTTCCTTTCGAGCCGTCTCCAACGAGGCCGCAAAGCCGCCATGGTGGGACTGTGATCGTTGAGCCATCATTCTTTCTGGTACAACGACAACAGGCCCTCCTTCACGGAGGTCTTTTTCTGTGGCAGTCATTGAAGAAAGACGTCGAAATCCGGGTCTGGCTTTCGGCGGGGCCAAATGGCCTTCATTTGAGGGAGCCATCGTGTACATATATACGCCCACTTTTTCGAAATGACTCGGTGACAGAACGTGGAGTCTGGAGGAGCGGAGGACTGGAGTGGGTCTGTATGCTCCGCAGGATCTGTATGAAACGACACTATCTGACCGAGTTGGAAATTACGAAAAAGGTGACTAGACAATTGAGGATAGGGAAGATTAACAAACGCGGCGGAGTTGAGAGTCTGACTGGAAACAGAATGATCAGTTCTTAAGGGTCTTGGTGGGGTATTATATGAATCCGGAGACGGTAGGAGAGGCGTAGTGCACTTAGCTTGCACCTTGGAACGTTAGAGCGATCATTACCTCACTAGACATGTACAGAAACTGTTCGTAGCATGTTCTCTAGAGGTGGACCTGTAATTTGGGTTCTCCAGGGACTAGAGCATGACGGAGAGCCGCTGCTAATCAGTAAAGGCTGATGGTTCTGGTACGAGCCACCCCACTATCTGAGCAACCGGCGCTTCTCATTGCTCAGAGCCCTCCAAACAACGTCAATCTTCTCCCAAGCAGAACTGCCTCGCATCACGGCAGTGAAAACTCTCTCCAAATTTTGCTGCCTGTGCTCTCCAGGAGGTGTGAAATGGGATTGCGTCAACAGGCAAAGCCGACTGATCTTCTACCCAAGTCAGGGGAGGATTTGATAACAGCTTGTTTGAAGTCGGCATATGACGCGTGAGTGCAGCGAAGATGCAGCGAGGGTGCAGCATGTTGCGGGACGACTGAAGAGGCCCGATGAGGCCGGTGGCAGGAGTATGGCCGAGGAGGCAAGAAGGGGGAAGGGGGAAGGGGGAAGGATAAGAGGAAGGACAAGAGGCGTCGAGAACGTGGTAGCAGCAGCAGCGAAAGCGACGGATTATTCGCATAAACACCATCGATGTCAAACGAGAACGGGACGATAAAGTGTCGGATGGCGGATAGAGTGCTGCGAGCGGCAGATGTCTCTCATTGGGCAGAGGGCAATTGGAGGGTCCCTGCGAGAGTCATGATTCAAGGAGCCGTTGTTTTCTGCGCTCCATTATTCTGTTACGTTGCAGGCATGGTGAGAAGATGGCGGGAGTCTAACAGTCGAAATTTTTACTTCTATTTAGCACTTCGCTTGGGTGCTGCCCGAGGGCCAATGGATAAGGCCGAAATGATAAGAGAGTCGCCCCTCTTTCCTGTTTTGCAAACTCTCAGTACTGCCCCACCAAAATTACATGGATTCTCGCGTTCCTGTCCTCTCCAGCACATGTCAGAGCAATACCTACCTATCCGTCTCGAGAAAATTTATGTATTGACACACCAGAACAGGTATCCCGAGTCTCACTCAACGGTGAAGATTGCAGGTAACTACGCCGCCATAATGTTACATGAACGTCGATTTGGACGATCGATGCCGCATATACCACGTAGCTCGTCAGTCTGCCGGGCATTTGCTGTAAGCATCCGTAGAAAGCATGTCTCCGTCATGGTTAGATGCGACAGGGGCTACCGACTCATGATGCCTTCATTATTCCTAGGTGCGCTTGCCATCACTTCTCTCTGCGCATGGTGGGGGCTATCAACAGGCTCAAGGAGAGTCATGAATTTTCCCCATGGGGATCGATCGATCTCAGAAGAAGTGAAGTAGAGTGGGTATTCATGCACAGTATGACTTTTGAAAGTGTGCAGAAAGCTATCTCGTGTTGTACTCCAGTAAAGCGCTCCATTCTCCACCAAATTGCGCGACTATCCTGCCAGACATCGAAAATACCCTCTGATTCCGATGACTTGCACGCAAATGCTTGACTCAATACATGATATTCACAGGTTTGCATCCAACATGCAATAATATGCAGCTACGTCAAGATATCGCGGACATTGGACGGACTGCTTATCTTGAACGTCCTGAAAACCTCGCTGCCGGCTACATCATCAAAAATATGCACGTGCGTACTATTGGCTGCGTCAATTACTTTTAACCACCAACTGAGGATATAAGAGTACGCAACATGACGAGACGTTGTAAAGAAAACAACGGCCGTCATCACACGTCGAGATAAGGTCGAGATTTTAAGGTTTTCTTGACACTTTGAGCCACGAAGTTTATCTTGGGCCCGAGTCAGTGGTCAGGCTTGCTAATCGTTGGCTTGTGCTAACTCCCCGAGGAGCCGTACTAGTATCTGGTGTGTCGGATCATCACCGACTTTTCGATGGAACTCTTCCTAGGTACTATGACGAAATGTATCCGAAGCCCACTATTGGGCAGTACCTAAATACCCTCTAGCATATCGATAATACTGCACGTTCTTGATTACCCAACACATTCTCGTTCACATGCATACAATAAGCATGAGAAGAGAAGTCCCCTACTAATTGATCGACAGCGACGTGTTGATTTCTGTGGAGAAGCCTCCGCAGATACCCTGAATGGGATTGCAGCAGGACAATTGGAACCACGTCACGTGGATGCTCGTGACGCATTGCAAGAGATGGGCGTAGGTAAAGCTGCCGTTCGAGGCTTTTGGTGTTTATATATTTCATCCCTCATGCTGTATCAGTAGTGGACTCCTTGTTGGATGACGAGAGACGAGAGAGCTAGTAACCCAATACTTGCATCAGAGCCACCAGTACCTTAAGCTCGATGAATCATAAACCAAACATGAGAGGTATTTACCATAAATATTGGGATATAAGATATTGCTCTACAGCTTATGGGACAATATAAGTGGGCTAGCTCTTAACAATAAACTAAATGCAAAATATGAAATGGTGCAAGAACAATGTAAACTCACTTCTGCCTCGAGCTCGAAGGTTGTACTTTGCATATTAATACTACCCCACGAGCTCTAGAACAACATAAACTCAACTTAAGCTCTCATCCTATCTGTGCTTTCCGAGTGGTAACGTTCGAATATTTCAGCCCCTTGAAACCTTAACACAGGACACAGGACAAACTTGACACCGAGAGAGCTCATTGAAGAGCGCAGACTCCTGTCTCGACAAGACTCAGTGAATTTGTGCACTCTCCAAAACCATATCAACAAGTGACGTTGTCTTAGCAAGGTCCGTCTACAAGCAAGCGCGCAACGCTTCTGCAATCCAGTCATCGGATCGATGCTCTTTGGATGGAGAATCGAAAATGAAAGCGCTGTCTTCACTTGAGCAGCAACTTGAGTTTTGTTCCTGCAATATTCCTGCGGCTCCGAATTTCTCCAATCGTCTGACGCTGTTCATTGGTGTACAGTCGAACATTCGTGACGAGAGACTTCTGATCTTCAGAAGCCGCAGCGCCAAGAGCGTCAAGAAGGATGCGATTGAAGCGAGCCAGACGACGAAGAGGGACACCTTCCAGGGAAAGCGCATGAAGAAATCCCATTTATGCATCAGGATGGAGGTCACAATGGGCATCTGTGCAGCTGGTGAGCCACGGCATGGTATCGCTGCCACCATCACCCCCAGAATGTGTGCTGAGAATAAATTACTGTACGAAAGTCGTCGACCTCTTCGGCGTCTGTGGCCGAGTACCAATAATGCCCCTGGACGATCATCACATGGACGGCTTCAACCGCTGAAGCTACTGTACGACTAGCCTTCTTTCCACTTCACTGTGTTCACATCTCACTATTGCGGTGGTCGGACTATCAATAATCGAAATTCATCGTTCAAAATCTATTGCGTCTCTGCTGTTTCCAGGAGCGATGCACACTCCTGTTGTCACAGTCTCACCTAAAATTGGATGGGGGCTTCAGAAGACCGGCCTGCGCGCTGTTTTCGAGTGAACCAGGCCAGGCTGTTTCTCGAGTCGCTGTACTCCGTAGTGGTATGAGATGGGCGTATGGCCTGGAGGATTGCTTCACCCAGCGACGAAGTGGTAGCCTTGTGGAAAGAAGCCCCGTCGGTGCAACGCATCCATCCATCGTGACCAGGCAGCCAATAACCGCTGCGAAGATCTGGATCGAGTGATGCATATCATCTACAGTAACATGGACAAGGACAAGTCAATCCCATGTCGGCTGCACCCGTTCTCGTTCCGTCGGTGAGTGAAAGACAGACAGACAGACAGAATAACTCTATTCTCTGTGCTACCGCCGCCTGCCTGCTTGCTTGCTTGCTTATTCTTGCCTGCATATCTCCATGCGGAACTTCTGTGCTCGTTTAAATATTCATCCCATGCATGCATCCATTCGCATGCCATCCCAATGATCCGAAGGCATCCCCCATCGTGGGAGAAAGACCCGGATCCTTGTGCACATGGAGTCAGCACCGCGCACGATCTCGCTCCCGTGTGCTGGCGACGGTGATTGGCGCTGTGTTTCGGTCGCATGCATAGAGGCGCATTTAGCGATAGAACTTCTCCCAATCCGCGTGTGGCACACTCCAAGACCTTTAACCGCCCGCGCTCCAAACGGGACAAGTGCCAATATACGCGCCCTCGGTGCAGAGAACGACTGCATCGTCCAATAATGCCGTGCAGCGGGCTGGTCTTCGTGTCCCTCGCTGCTGCCAGCCATTTGCCCATCACCGAATCTCTTCTTTCCCCTCAATCAACCTTCCACCCATCTCAGCAAACCATGGCGGTCCGGCCTCCAGTGACGGCCCCCCCATAAAGGGAACCGGGACCCCAATCTGATTTCTCTTTTTCTTCTCTCTTCAGCAAGCACTCAATCTTCCAAGAGCTCTAGTTTCTTCTCGTCCTTTTTACGTCTTTTTGTCTTTTTTGTTCCTGAGCTGTGCTCATAATCACATCCTTTTTTACTTTCTAATCACAATTCAGTTGCCGGTCAACTTCATAATTTTTGCAGCCTCACGCCTCGAACTATCCCAAAACTAGCTCTTCCTTGCTCGAATCAATCAAACCAATTTCAATTTTCAAATCACGACAAGTGCAATAATAATTACCATCAGCAATAATGGCCGCCGTTCAACTCTCTTTCGCTCTTCGCACATCCTCCAGCGTCAAGACCGTCCATCTCCTCGGTTCATGGGACAACTACGCCGGGCAACTTCCCCTTTCCAAGGATAAGACTTCCTCCAAGTCTGGTTCGTGGAAGGGAACATTCAGATTCCAGGGTGCTACTCTCCAAGCCGGTCAACGATACTGGTACTACTACATCATCGATGGGTACCACGTTTCCCACGATCCTTCCCAGTCATCCACCACCGAGCCCACCACTGGCCGCGTTCTCAACATCCTTGATGTCCCATCCGAGAAGTCTTCATCCAAGTCATCTTCCAAGTCATCGTCCAAGTCATCCTCAGACAAGGAGCGATCTTCCAAGCACAGCTCCAGCCGCGAGAAGCACTCTTCTTCCAGCTCCCGCCGTGAGTCCCGCCGCGATGTCGCCTCAGACATCCCCAAGGGTCGCCCTCTCTCCGTCTCCCAGATCAAGTCACCCAAGCCAGTTGCACCACACGCCACCAAGTACATCTTGGAAGCCGACTACAGTGCACCAACTGTTGAGGAGCTCACCTCCCGCTTCAGCGCTGCCACCATCGACGAGTACGACTACCAGCTCTCCAGCTCGCCACCATCCTCCGTTGGCTCCAGCCTTTCCAGCCGCTCCGACAGCGACTCCGCCAGCTCCCTCAGCGGATACAGCTCCCCAGCTTCGTCCGTCGGTGACTGCACCTGTGAGCGCTACGGCATCACCCGCTCCGGTGACCGCGTCAAGTTGGACTGTGGTGGTTCCCGCTGTGCCTACAGTGAGGACTCCGACTCTTGCTGCTCCTCCGATGACGAGTACGTCCCAACCTCTTCCCGCCGCCACGGCTTGGTCGTTCGACGGTGAATGGAGAATCAAATCATGTGTGAAAATAGAGGATAAGGAGGAAAATAATAGAGACAGCCGCCCATTCGTTAATGGCTACTTACCTTTTGCAATCATCCACCCGTGTGACATGCCGGTCATGGCATGCGGGGGCATACGAAGCCGAATCCGCGGCCACGTGGGTGCAGCTATCCTCATCGGGTGCTGTTCCTGCGCGATTTCGTTGTATCTTGTGAAGTTCATGTCCGTTTTTCTGAGCACGGAAGATGGCCAGCATGAAGGGGAAGGGGGTGAATCTTGCAGAGGGCAGGTTTTGAAAGTTCAGAGGGGACACGGTGCACGGGGGCGCGCTCGGTCTTCTACTTGTGAAGGAATGGTCCCAAACTTTGGGCAAGCCATGTCATGGTGCAGAGAATCTACAGCCTGTACTAGATATCATATAGTGGATAGAAGACGATTGAATCTACTCCACGAAGCCAACCGATCTTATTCTCTAATTTTGCTTGTGATTGAACAACATTGCTAGTGGCAACTTCTTCCAAGTCTTCTGTCTCGAAGACCTAGAGAGGCATGAGATGCAAAATCAAGAGCAACAACCACAGAAACGAGACTAGGCATTTTTCGTTGCTGCATTTGCTGACAACCAACGAAGAGAAGGAAGTAATCACTTGATTCTCACTACTTCAAAGGTCATTTTCCGTGTATTCTCATCATCCCACGGCCTTTTATTCTCTGCAATCCCCATCCCTCGATCCAAAGTTACCTTCACGTCCCACGTGCTGCCTGTATTCTCTCCTACTTCCATCCACAACCGCTCGAAAGTCTGCTCGTCATGTCTGAACACCTTTTGCGCTGCCCCAAAGGGCACATCTTTAGGTTGAAGATTCCCCAACTGATGTCCAAGTACCATAACTCCTTCCTGCTTCTTCAGCAGACTGACCATCCGTTCGCAAGCCTTCCGTTGTCCTTCCCAGTCAAAGAGATGAAGGAATAATCCGACATGAATCATATCCATCTGGTCTTCTAGCTCGTTGAGGGGACCATGAGTGTCGAAGACGTCGGCCATGATGATCTTTACTCCGAAGGTATCTCGGTCGAGAAAAAGATCGTAGCCGCTGTCAACATATTCTTTCCTCAATTCGGCACCGAAAATGGACGATGGAGGCGCGCCGTCATGAACCAGCTTTCGCATATCTTGGCCAAAGCAGCATCCAAGATCGAGGAGTTTGTTTTCGGCTTTGAGACGGCTGAGAATATCCGAATACAGTGGTGACATGGAAAGTTCGAAGTCGATGAACCTAAACATTCCTACACATGGCAGAGGAAGGAAATCCCAAGCTTTGTCGCGCTGGTTGAACTGTCAACATGGTCTTCCAAGCCTGTAAATGTGCGCCACCTACCACTTTGAGAATATGAGGGATAACTTGATCGGGTGCAACGTGGCTATAATTCTCGAAAAGATCCCGCTGCGGCTCTGTCAAAGAGATGAGGTTTGGCTTATACCATGCAACATCTTTGTCTCGACTACCAATAAGGAGTCTTGAATTTGGATCTCTCGCCGCTACCTCGATGTGCGTGTCCATGATGACGATGAGGAGGTTTGAAATTGCAATTGAAACGAACGAAGCCAAAGAATAGAGAAAAAGACTTTTTGTGATTCTTCGAAGCAAATAGACCCCTCATCCCGGCTTTCGTGCCATTTTAGGTAGTGCTGGCAACGAGAGGCACATGAGGAAGGAAGCAGTCTTCCTTCGCTCCTAGGCTATATTGGAAGCATTCGATGTAACATATAACATTTGTATCACCACATGTGCAGTCTCAATGAGCTCTGCCTGAGCGCGATAACCCTCATTATTGACCAGACAACTTGTCTGAAGGGCGTCGGAGGCAATGGGACCATCAAGACATGCCTCTGAAGAATGAAACGGTTACAGTTGAACTAACAGCTTGGCATGAAATCTGTACTTACCTACACTAGGGTTGGTTGGTTGGTTGGTTGGTTGGTTGGTACATACCTACCTAGCCAGCCACAGCACGTGTGAGGGGGTAAATTCCCAGCGGCGGGGAGGAAAGGGAATGTTTGTACCTGAACAGCTGGCGATCCTCACTGCCGAAGCTAAATAACCTGCAATCAACGTGCGATTTATGGTAGATGGCTGGCTGGCTGGGTCGAGAAGCTTTGGACTAATGCTCGTGGGAGAATGAGGACGGGAGAGGCCGAGAATAGATGCATTGGTGCTGAACGTCGATATATGGCTGGTAGGTACTGACTACAACGGCGATAGTGCATGCCAGGTCGAGTAGACCAGCTGTCCGAGTCGTGCACAATGACAGGCGTTGCAGGAGATCCACATGTAACGAGGTAAGTAGGTAGGTAGGTAGGAAGGTATTTTGTCCCAGAAGTCGTATAGCGACATGGTTCCAACCGTTAGGTAGTCCAAAGAGTGTCACGAAGAACGGGAAGGAGGGCGGGCGGTCGTTTTACCTCGTGGAGCCAAATTGCCCGAGACAAGAAGCCGGGTCCAGGTCCAGGTCCAGGTCCAGGTCCTGCTCTGTTCTCTTCAGTGTGTAAATGGAAATGCACGAGAACGAGGTCCACCGCCTTCTGATCCCGTCGCCATGCCGTCTGTCTGAGCGCAGAAAATTCAACGGTAAAAGCTGATGACGTCGGAGGAACATGCAGGAGCAAGGGCACCCAAACGCAAAGCTGCTCCAAAGCCAAGTTGGTGCTGGTCAGCAGCAGCAGCAAGCTCTACCTAGCTAAGCTAACAAATAATCATCTTCAACCAGACAGTAGTCCCCAGCACTAACTAGGAGTCAAGCCATAGCGTAGCGCGTCGTACAAGCTCGACCAGCTGCTCAACGCTTCTGCACTTTCATGACAAGGTTTGATACCAAGAATTCATTCAGACCGACCCGGCCAAAAAGTGGATTTCTAGACACGGAATTGTTGTCTTCCCATGCATTTCATCGACCGCCATCTGCCATCGCCGATTCCAACGCTCCGGGTTCCAAGCCATCGTCCCTCGTCCTTCCTCCTACTCCTACCCGTTTATTAGTGAGAGTAGTGCCTGCTCACCAACTCGCACTATTCGATCGACTTTCATCACCAGTCCCCCAAACACAGTGAAGTGATTGTCAATACCGTGCTCGGTTTCCTCTCGCGCGCCTTTCGGATCTCCAGCAGCGTATGGAAAACAGTATCGCCTTGCCTTTCACTTTTTGCTGCTACTGATTGATATCATCGCAAAAAAGTCAAGTAGTCAAGCTCAGCGGAGCTAAAGGCCATCATCATGGTTCAAATCGACCATCATGAGTACCTCTCCGAGGAAGAGAAGCGTCTCAAGCAGGACAGAGAACGAGAGAAGTATTGGAAGAGGTGGGGTCCGTATGTGGCTGAGAGACAGTGGGCGACAGGTAAGTTGTGGTGTGTGCCGTGGTACAGAATGATGTTAATGACCATTTTGTACAGTGCGAGAGGATTACAGCGCTGATGGTGATGCGTGGAGCCGTGAGTTCTTCCCAACTCCGCGATATGGGGCTCAAATATACTAAAAGCAATTATAGATTTCCCTCACGACCATGCACGATCCAGAGCTTTTCGGTGGGGTGAAGATGGCATTGCTGGTGTCTCGGATACGCATGGCTTGCAGAACATCGCATTTGCTTTTTGGAATGAAGAAGAGTCAGTCCCCTAGTCTGCGAGTCCGGGGTCACCAGAACTAAAATATATACAGTGACTTCCTCAAAGAGCGATTGTTCGGACTTTCCAATCCGCAAGGCAACCACGGCGAGAGTATCAAAGAGGCACATTTCCATGTTGATAATACCCCTACGGTGCGTTTCAGAACAGACAACTCTCGCAAAAGTGCTTTGGCTGATAGTTATAGCACTCATATATGAAACTTCTATACAAGTATCCGCAACGGAAATTTCCCTACGAAGACCTTGTCAAAGAAAATGCGAGACGTGGAAAGAAGGACAGAGAATACCAGATAATCGATACAGGGATCTTCGACGACGATAGGTATTGGGATATCTACATTGAGACTGCGAAAGAGGACGATGATCCTGAAGAATTGCTCTTCCGAGTTACAGCTTGGAATCGCGGACCCGAACCTGCCCCACTCCACATTATTCCACACGTCTGGTTCAGAAATACCTGGGCCTGGGGTCATGAATCCCCTGACAAGAAACCTAACATCCATCAAGTCAGCGAGACCGTCGCCCAAACCACACATTATAAGCTTGGCGAACGGTATCTCCAGCTCTCCCCGTCGCCAGGTGTAGGACCAAGTGGCCAGGATGTCATGCCAGAGTTGATCTTCACAGAGAATGACACCAATTTCGAGGGCTTGTACTGCGGAGAAAATGAGCAACCATATGTCAAGGACGCCTTCCATCGCCACATTGTCGATAAGGAGAAGAAAGCTGTTAATCCTAAGCTTACAGGCACAAAGTCTGCTGCATGGTTTGCGTTCAACGAAGGCGGGGGCGTAGCTCCTGGCGAATGTGCCGTGGTCAGATTTCGATTGTCCAAGAAGTACGATGATTACATGGACGAAGAGTTATTCGACGATATTATCGAAAAGCGAAAGGAGGAAGCGGACGAGTTCTACTACCGCATCAGTCCACTCCCTATGTCTGAGGATCTTAGGAATATCCAACGTCAAGCCTTTGCTGGCATGATGTGGACGAAGCAATTTTACCATTTCATCTGGGATCAATGGGCGAATGGTGATCCAAATCAGCCTCCTCCACCACCAGATCGCAAGGCTATTCGGAACACAAATTGGAAGCACATGCATCTAGATGACATCCTATCAATGCCAGACTCGTGGGAGTATCCGTTCTTTGCTGCATGGGATTCCGCTTTCCATTGCATCCCTCTGGCAATGATTGACCCAGACTTCGCCAAGAAGCAGTTGGATTTGTTCACAAGAGAATGGTATATGCATCCGAATGGACAATTGCCCGCGTATGAATGGAATTTTGGAGATGTCAATCCGCCAGTCCATGCCTGGGCCACATTCCGCACATTTAAGATTGAGAGAAAGCTCTACGGTCGGCAAGACTTAGATTTCCTCGAACGGGTGTTTCAAAAGCTACTTCTCAACTTCACCTGGTGGGTCAACAGAAAGGATTTTGACGGCAAGAATGTGTTCGAGGGTGGTTTCCTTGGTTTGGACAACATTGGTTTGTTCAATCGATCGGAGCCTCTGCCCACGGGAGGAGTACTTGAACAAGCGGACAGCACAGGTTGGATGGCATTTTACTGTCTTTGCATGCTCAATATTGCCCTTGAGTTGGCAAAGCATAGACGTGTATATGAAGATATTGCGTCGAAGTTCTTTGAGCATTTCATGCTGATTAGCGATGCCATGACTTACAAGGCGGGTGCAAAGGAGAAGTCCCTCTGGAATGAAGAGGACGGATTTTACTACGATGCTATCTCTTACGGAGGACCCTGGACGCAACAACTTCCTGTCCGGTCCCTTGTCGGTCTGATCCCACTCTATGCTACACTTACACTGGAGCCTGAGTTGATCAACAAATTGCCTTCGTTCAAGAAGCGCGTGGACTGGTTCATTGAGAATCGACATGACGTTGCGGAACGGAACATGGCTAGCATCAGGAAGAGAGGAAAGGACAATCGAATACTGCTCTCGCTTGTCAGCAAAGACCGGCTCGAGAAGATTTTGAAGCGTATGCTCGACGAGGACGAATTCTTCAGCGAACATGGAATTCGTTCGCTGTCCAAGTACCATGAAAAACACCCTTATTCCATGGACGTGAACGGCCAGGAGTTTAAAGTCGAGTATGTTTCTGGCGACTCCGATAGTGGCATGTTCGGTGGCAATAGCAATTGGAGAGGACCCATCTGGTTATGTGTCAACTTTCTACTTGTAGAAAGCTTGCAACGCTTCTACATGTTCTACGGCCCGCAGTTCGAAGTAGAATGCCCCACCGGCTCTGGAGACATGATGCATCTTGGTCGCGTATCCGAGGAGATTCAACATCGCCTGCAACATCTCATGGCCCGTGGAGATGATGGTCGTCGCGCTATCAATGACGGAAATGATATGCTCGACTTTGATCCTAACTGGAAAGACAACTTGTGGTTCTATGAGTTCTTCGATGGTGACTCTGGCCGTGGGCTTGGAGCTACCCATCAATGCGGTGTATGGCCAAATCCCTTTCTTAAAGTGCTGTTTTCTTATATGATGGCTCTGGGAGCCCGAGCCTCTCACCTCCGTTTCAATGTTTTGTTATGCTAATTTGTCGCAGTGGACTGGGCTCATCGCTAGAATGATCCATGACACAGGGTAAGTGATGTCCATCCGACTCCGCTATGTAGTGGCTAATTATTTTCAGATTGAGCTGTCGTCTTCCACAAACCCCGCGGACGCCTTCCAGTATGTAAAATTCTACCCTTGTTTGGTGTACAATCTAGCCGCCGAGATTTTCGAGATAAATGTTGTTGAAAGTGTATACTGATTTGTGCACAGCTGGTATGAATCACTACTTCGACGATATCTTCACCCGCCACGTAACGCAACCTAAGAGTGGCCACAAAACCCCTCGACACATGATGCGTCGCTCTTCGACAGCAAGATCAATAGGCGCCCGAAGTGACTTTGACGCTTCCACGAATGGAGACGATGCTCATTCCGTCGGCAATTCGGTTGAGCCCGAAACTGCAGAGAGAGAACGGGAACGCAGAGAAGCCGATGCCCACACTGCTCACTATGTGTCTGAACAGTTGTCGAGGGTTCGGAGCAATCAATCTGCTGATTACGAGACTGGTGATGAATTTGAAGCTCAACTGGATGGTCAATGAAGAGGCTTCCAGTCGGGGCATGTCACGAACTCTATAGCTGCTACGCGTTGCTTTTTCATTCAAATAGCGTCTAACTATGAAAAGTTGCACTTTACACTTTAGAAGTTTAAGAAGCAGAGGTCACACCAAGAATAGAGCTAGAAGAATAGAACTAGAGATATATTGATTGGTAGAGATTAATGACTTAAGGCAACACATCTCTCCTTTCCGATTGTGGACGTGACGTACAATATGAGGCTGGAATCAGTTCCTGCATTACCTAGATCAGAAAGTCCGACAACTTGAAGGCCATTCAGATTATGTGTACAAAAGCCAGCCCCAATCCACATCCACATACTACATTCGCTTGGAATTTTTATTATCACTTCAACCAATGGGGTCCTAATGTCCCACGGATTTTGGTGTATTCTTGTTGAGATGATGAAGTCTTAAAGAGTGGGTGAAAATGCTCAATTCTCGGATCATATACATGTCATGCCCTCGACCACCAGAGCCCATCTTCCGCTTCTTCTAAACTAAGGCAGTTTTGTTTTACAAGGTATCAGTCAGGAGTTTGTTCATCTTCGCAAGTCGTGCAGAGACGCTGAGGTCTATTGTTCGATCGCCGATCTCCACGACAAGTCCTCCGAGAATATCTGGGTTGACCTATGAACTACGTTAATATCCTCCGTGGTACAATAGCTGGCTACAATTACCTTGTTGGTGACCTTGAGCTTCTTTCCTTGACCGACATATTGAGACTTCGATACTGCTGATTCAAGGCGAGAGAGTGTCTTGCCATCCAATTGCTGCAAGCTGTTAGCATGGACGCTGCTCAGCTAATTCTATATCAATTCACCGAAGCACTTGTGACAGTCAGCTCGACCTCCCCCTTGGCAGCGCTCATCAGCTCGCCAAACTTCTCGCAGACACCCTTCAGAAGGCCCAATCTATTGTAATCCGCCAATGTGATGAGAAAGTTCTTGACGGTGTCTCCCTTGTCCGTTGCTCCGGTGTGCTTCTGAAGCTCGGTGATGATCGAGGTCTTATCTTCCGAGCTCAAGGTAGGCGCTTGCATGATCGTGGCCAGCTTGGCATCCTTGTTGTAGACTTCGTGAAGCGCATTGATCGCTTTGGAGGTGTTCTCGAGGGTTGAATTCTTCACAGCAGCCGTGTACTGTTATGTGTTAGCATCTTCTTTCACACGTTATACAGCCCCAACCGGATATCAATTGAAGCCCCTTCTGGTACTTGATGCCAAGTGAACAGTATCATCTTACCAGAGCTGTAGCATATGTTCCATCAAGTCCATAGAGGGCGATCGGGGGCTTCGAATCGGGTGCAGCAGGAGTTGCATAGGATCGGAATTGCGAAGCTGGGATGGCTCTCGAGGCCACGATACGCTGGGAAGCTGAGGCGCGGATGCGCAACATAGCTCGGTTCGAGAGCATGATGAGAGGATGGCGGTCTTCAATTGACGTTGTGAAGAAGAATACGGGCGTGGTCGTTGAGAAGCTCGGCAACATTGGAAAAGATGATTTGACAAGGATACTTCCAGGTCACGTGATGTGTGTTATTTGAGAGTTTAAAAAAAACCAAAACAGTATATTATTGTTCCAACGCTTGTGGGACAATATGAATAAGAGAATTGGATCCTTCTATTAAATTCATGACGTTGTTTTCGTTGTTCTTACGCCACTTCAATTTCTCAAACTTTAGTTTACACATGGGATTAAGCCCACATCTATGATCTGACAAACTCTGGAACAATATTATTTTATCACCTCTTAAAATACGTAGGATGAGACATTGCAGAGGACAAAATAAGACACCTCCCTGGCAGTCTACGGAGCGTTCCTTGACGGATGATGTCCCTCGCGCGAGACAATTATGTTCTCATACAACCGATCTCGAGCCCTCGATAAATGGGAAAGACAACAGACGGATAGTGAATCGAGGAATGAAGACTCAGTCATATGAGGTCTTAGTTTATCACTATTGGCTCAAATGTTTAAGGTATGGTAACCATAACACTCACTCTCTCATAAAGTTCGTGATGAAGCTTCAGCTTCAGCTACCGCTTTAATTTCGTGCTATTCCGAGTACGCCCTTCGCGAGTTGCCTTCCACCATGAACCATCCTCTAGGGCATTAGATTCCGCTCCTCAAAGACTCCTGCAATCAACCAACACCAGACGCCATGCCCATGCTCATTGTAATTTCATCCAGCCATAAGATACTTCAATCGCTTCTGAGCATACTGTCCACCAAGTCGCCAAGAGGTCCCCAGAAGTCCTTGCCGCTAGCGAGGCTGTGTTCGTCAATGAAAAGGACGTAGTGCTTGAAGCTAGTGTTCAGATGAGCCTCCAGACCAAGCTCACGGATGACAGGATAGTGATGGCAGTATATGTGAGCATACACACGATACATCCTCTTGAATACTTGACGGATCATACTTGGGAAGGATTTCGGGAATGGGACACCTAAGAGAGATCAGCAGGAGCTAGAGATAGGTAACAACAATCTTCACACACCAATACGACTGGGGAACACAGCTTCATTGTCAATATTGCTCTGAACCCAGCCCATCAGATGCTCAATATATGTTGGTGCTGGCATCTTGGTAGGTCTTTTGTAGTTTTCAGAATCTTGCCAGAGATACTCAAACCTGCCACATAGGATCAGTTCTGTAGTATATTAGAAGAGGGACTGTAGCGTACTCGTCGGTTGCTTTCATCTCAGGGCATGATTGAGGGGAACAGAATTCTGTAATTGAGCCGTAAAGGAGATTGATATGATTGTAGAAGTCCACCACTGCAAATGTATGAGCTTCGGGGACGACAAATCAGGGCTGGTAGAGCCTACTGTTGACTGCCAACCATTCATTCTCGTCCTCGCCTTCTGGCAGCTTTACAATCTTGCGCAGACTGCCTCCACCGAGTGTAGCCTCTGCATATTGTCGTAGCTGGTAACTCGAGGTACCCTTCGTGGCATTGCGGGGTCTGAACTGATTTCTCGTCCGCTGATTACTGTCGGGAGAGTTTCGTAAGTAAGGAGACACGTATGATGCTTCCGGAGACTGAATGAAAGGGTCTTCTTCATATTTCACCGAAATCGTCATAGACGAATCGGACTGCGTGAGTGTACAGACAGGCGAGAGCACCTTGGGAGCGCGAGGGCTTAACATCTGCAGTATACTAGCCATGGAGAGATTAGAATACTGACACTGTAGTAATGAAGGAGGTCATCGTGGCTTCAAGAGACGTGCAAACAAACAGCCTGATCTGGCAATCTAACATTCCACACGTTAGCAGGGCAATAATCCGGAGGACGGGGCGATGAACATACTTTTTGTGCGCCCAGTTCCGACTCGAGCAGAGAAGTAGACCTTAGATTGTTGTCACGGACCTTGAAAGAGACTTGTATGCTGTTGAAGGTCCAGAGATGATGAAATCCAAACAATTCGGATTTTTGTTTACATTGGACCGCATCGGGCAGGAACCGTTGTCTAGCTACTTTCTACGCCATATCTCATTTAGGACTAGCTCCTAGCTTCTTCCCCGGACGAGCGATTGAGTGAAGGCGCGCTTGAATCTCACACAACTTCGAGCTCAATAACCCAAATATACAGTATCTTGGATTTCTTCGACCACGTCCCTCATTATGCTGGAGAGTTTGCACATCCTAGCTCTATTGTCGCTGCATCCATGAGTGACAGAACTGATCTCCTTCGAGCAGAAGGAGCTTTAAGCTTCGACTTGGCGCTATGTCGACACCATTGACGAACATCAGGGTCTTCGTGCAGTGGTCGGAGCAGACCGTGTTCGCCGGCGAGGAGATTGAATGCCAAATCACCTTCAAGAATATCGCCGACACGCCTTCGCATCCACGAGCATTCTTGCATCCTCAAGCCGCCAATGGTTTCGTCACCGGCGAGAGATCGGATAGACAGCGGAAGCCACTACCCCAGAGAAAGAGCAATTCAGCAATAAGCTCACGCGGCACACCAACGACTCGAGGGCATCGTACTACATTATCGTTGAGCACCCCAAGCGTTTCTGCTAGGTCACAGCCTCCTCCCACACCATGGAATACAGCTACCCAGAAGGTTTCAAAAGAAGGGCACACACATAAACGTTCAGTATCCATTATCTCTATTGGGCAAAGCGAATCTGGAGTGGAGGACATCAACAGCCACGGCAGCTTAGTTGAAAGACCAAGGGGCCCATCAAAGGGGCACGGCCGCTCTGCGAGTCTGCAGATTGTGCCACGCAGGAATGGAGTCAATGGAGGGCCGCCATCAGGTACCTGCCCACTGCAATCAATCACCATGAGCTCTAGCTGATATTATACAGCACCAATAAATCAACGGTCGTCCACACACCCTTCACCTCTCAACTTTTCCTTCTCTCCAGCTGGCCAAGATGTTGAATTGCCCGAGAGGCTATCTAGGAGGCGGAGTGGAGTAGCGACGGCTCCTGGGACACCTTCTGCGCTCCGCAAAGGGTCTGCATCATTCTCTCAAAGCTTTAAGTTTCCAGCGACCGCAATAGGTACCGCAGATTCAAGATCAGTGGACCACTTCGTTAGAGAAGGTGAATCTCATTATGTTCAGGAAAGTCCTCGGCTACTGTCTCCGAGATCTAGGGATGCTGTGTCTATCATGCCAGTCATATCGGACCAAGCAGCACGCGTATTATCTCCTGCTAGTGTCGCGGGCACGCCTCGAAGCAGCGGCGAGTTTTACTCGCTCAGCAACAATTCAACAGAGACGTTAGCATCCGAATATGTTCCCCAGCAATCTGGCCGATTACCCTCATACGGGGGCCATTCAAGAAGACCATCAAACATATCGCCCGTCAACCACCATAGACCACCCGAGACACTTATGATGGGCTATGCGCAAATACATGGGTCTTTCGTTCTAGATGCTTCTCTGATCAACCAAGCACCTTTTGATGAGGTGAAACGGAAAGGAGCTGTTGGCGGTCAAGGTGGTGGCGTCATTGGGGTCGAGAGCCATAAACGCGACAGTGGACTACTCCGCAGTTTTGGATGGGGCAATATTGGGGAATCGCTCGGCGGATTACTTGGCGGTGGTGAACTCAGCAGTATCAAAGACATGAGAGGTATCGCTAGCTCGCGGTCGATACCACTCTTATCCACACCACAGTCTATCCTCTTTGTAGATTTACGCCTCGGTCCTGGGGAGAGCCGGTGCTTCAAATACTCCTTCAAGCTGCCTAGAGGTCTACCCCCCAGTCATCGCGGTAAAGCCATTAAGATATCGTATAAGCTGGTGATTGGCACGCAACGTCCTGGTGGTGCCAGGGAGCAACAAGTCAAGTCGGTAGAAGTTCCCTTTCGCATATTAGGGAGTGTGAACACACATGGCGAGCTCCTAGGCCATGATCTATTATCTCCATATATTATTCTTCGCGATCAGGCCAAAGTTAAATCTATCGAGGCTCCTAAGCAAGCTAGCCAGGATGCCTCTATAGAGTTACACAATAATTCTGCAGCAAAACCAAACGAATCAACTGTGGACGACTTTCTCTCTTACGTGGATGACTTATTATCCAGACCACGGCAGAATTCCAGTCTCGGTCTTCTTTCACCCACAGAAGCTCCCAGGTCTCGCCGACAATCAACTATCGAGGAGCCTGGCACGGTAAAGGAGGCTATAGACATGGCAATCTTACGAAGCAATAATGCGACGGAGTCTCAACAAAGTGCTAACAGATTCGACATTGCTCGTGGAGGGAAACGCGTTGCCGTGGTCATGCTTGCGAGACCGGCTTACCGGCTTGGTGAGGCCATCACTGCAGCTATTGACTTCACGGATGCCGAAATCCCTTGCTATGCCATCCATGTGGCGCTTGAAACATCAGAGAAAGTAGACAACTCGATTGCCTTGCGGTCAGAGGCAAGCATCCTCCGAGTTACCCGCAAAGCTTATGTCTCTCATTCCGAGTCGACGTTGTTTGCACGACGAGTTGTCTTTTGCCCCACTATACCGATTACAGCTACGCCTGAATTTATAACAAGTGGTGTCAGTCTCGAGTGGAGAATTCGCATAGAATTCGTTACACCTCGCTTGGCTGGGGGGGAAACAGACGCAGATCACGCAGATCTTTTAGACGAAGTATCTAGGGACGACCGAGGAGTCGTCTTGGCAGCGGCAGAGGCGCTAGACTGCGAGAGTTTTGAAGTAGCAGTTCCTCTCAGGGTATATGGCGCTCTTGCAGGAAATCCAGAGCGAGATGATAGTCCATCGGATGGACTTGTTGTATAGGCAAGCGCGATCATTTGGCATTTCAGCGGCGTTTAGCGGATAAACTTGCATATCAAAATGTAAATCACTTACGAACCAGCCGAATAAATTTCGACTGCGAGCACCCTGCACTTTCCAGTCAACATCACCCACGCGACATTCACACAATGGTCTCAGCATGGTAGCACGATATTTTATTTGTCTCTAGGTATCTTGTGATTACTCGGACACAAAAGTACATTGCAAGGTATATCTGTCTTCACAGAGATAGACCGGCGTCGCTGCAACAAGTTAGTACTTACTATTCTCTAATACGTTTCTCGAGAATGCAATACAGCAGGATCAACAACTAGCGAGAATGAAAAAGAAAAGAGTTTGCTACGTACAGCACCGAGTTTGTGCCCGTGGTTGAGGCGCTACCAACATTAGCACCTGGGAGTTTTGAGAGGGACATGAGCTCTGCAAGACGAGAGCTGTCTCGGGAGCTGAGACATTCTTGCAACCGAATAACGTCTACTTGCTACACCAAAGCCAGCTCCCAGCTCTTGAGCTCCCACGGAGAAACATAACTTGGGATGGGATTTTAGGGGCGTACCTGTTTGCCAAAAAGAGTATTTGCTGGGCAACATCCTCGAATTCAATTAGTAGTCATCGTCGCAACGCAGCCGGGGAGATTTACTTCTACGCTAGCAACTCTCTTCAGCGGGCTCTTTCCAATGGCTGTCTCAACCTTGGATGCAGGAAATTGCAGCCCCCAGTCCTAAAGGGGCCGTTAGCCAGGCTTTTTCGGTCCGAAAGGAGACTCACCGTCAACAGGATGCCAGGGGATACAGAGTTCACCCGAACGGGTCCCGCGATCAAAGCCAGCGACTTCACTAGATGTATTTGGGCCTTTGTAGCAGACAATAAGTTTAGAGCAAATTCATCGATTTCTTTTCACTTACTGCTTTTGTTACCGAGTAAGCCTTTCCGACTCTACGTGTCAGTGAAAAAAGTAGTAAAGAGCACCCGGGTCGTGTGGGGTCTCACCACAGAACTGCCACTGGGCTTGACTCCTGCCAGAGAAGCAGTAGTAATGAATGAGCCTCCTGAGGCTTCGAGATGCTTCCTTGCGGCGTGGAAAAGGAAGAGATGCGACTTGACGTTCATGTTGAAACACTGTGAAGCGATCAGGAACAATACATAACATTAGGCAAGGAGAGTTGGAATGTTCACCTTATCCCAGTCACTCTCGTCCACGTTGTCGTCTAGATCATTAAAATTCCTCATTCTAGTCCAGCCTTGGTTCGAGACGACCAGATCGAGCCTTCCCATCTTATGGACAGTCTCTTCAACCAACCGCGAGAGCTCGGTACGTTGAGAAACATCAGCCATGATTGCAAGGACTCGAGATTCTTTGTCTACAGCTGCCTCGCCTGATTTGCTTTGCAGAGCCTTCAGTTCTTCAAGCAGTTTTTCGGCTTTGTCTTTGCTGGAGAGGTAATTGATGACAACCCTTACTCCACTCCGGGCCAGTGCCTTAGCCGTAGCCGCACCTAACCCGGCACTGCTTGCCGTAATCTGGTAGACAATAGAATCAGTCTGTGCGGAGCTTCTATGTATAAGAGACAACCATGAGAAGGGAAAAGAGGATAACAAAAGCCGCGAGGAGTTACCCCGCACTAGCGACCTGAACAGCAATGCAATTGAACGTACCAAGGCCACCGACTCACCAGACAACTTATACGGTTCTGACATCTCAAGGGGAAGTTCTATTTTTACAAAATTGATTTGCCGATTGTGAAGACAATATGTGATTATATATGAAAGATGGTTGGGGCTCTCTTCTCTTCCGAAGTGGGGAGAACCGAGGCTAGCACACTCCACTCGAGTGGTGCCGAACGCAATCCCGACCCGGTCAAATGATTAGCCCCATCAATTTCTCATAGCCTTCTGGTACAATTTGTGCTCATACTTCATTGATCGCGATGTTGTTGTTGCACTAAGAGTGGTAAGCGAGAACTCTTCCTGCGCGATGATTATCATGTACGGAGGATTTCATTTCCTCCTCATCTTCTCGGGATTTACACAACTCCTGCATGCAGTTTACCCTACGCTGGAATACCCCTCGTCGGCCAGTGTCGTATGGTCCCTCTGCGGAAGTATAATTCCTTATCTGAATTATTATTACCCTTGCTTGTCCAAGACTCGATAAGCTATTTTACCTTTCTTGATTAAGCAGGTCGCAAACATAGCCTAGCTACTCGCATATGATCATCGTGAATGATGATGCATGATAGATTTCTTGGACGGCAGTATTTGCCGGAAAGCAGACTCCCACGTTGTTCATAAAAGACCTTGTTCCGTGATGGGGTTGCAGTTTTCAGTCTTGAGCACAGCTCTGAATCTGCACAGGAGAGATTCTTGTCGACATGCAACTCCAGACGCTCATATTTGTCCTGCTCACGGTGGGTGTACGAGCGTCCCCAACCGTGACCTCCCCTTACGATGCCGCCACTGCATGTGCGGTTGTATCGAGTAGCGCTTCTGCGTTCCTGGCAATATCGCCCAAAGGAAAGTTAAGCCGCCACTCCGGTTGGATTTACTCTAATGTCGCTCAGCAACTCCGACAGTAGAGGCTCAGTTGGGGTATGATTGTCTGGCATCTGTACCGCTGCATGCACAACGAGCCAAAGACCTGGTGGAAGCTATGCTCCCATTTGTTCAATGGCAAACTACGATTGAATACCTCAAATCCCCACCAGAGGGCTATACCGAACCAGCAGTGGATCTTCCGTCAGGCTTTGCTGCTGTTATTGCAAACATTTCTTCCGGCGTCTACCAAACTGAATACGAATTTCAGGTTCAGCTCTGGAAGGTGGTCAACTCAGCACACGATGGCCATTTTAGATTTCTACCCGACCTATTGTAAGTATGTAGCTTCCAAACGGAGGAAATTCCACTGAGAAGACAGGTCCAAGGCAATAGCATTCAGAAGGCCATTTCCCCTGGTGTCTGTCAGTTTCGATGGAATTTCGTCTCCAAAGGTATACTCCTACTATGACGTGATTGCGTCACAAAGCTCAGGTATTGTCCCCTCCGCGCTTGCTAGCATAGAGGGGGATGAAGCTTCGGAGTATATCGAAAAATTGTCACAACTTGGTGCACTGAATGACCCGGACGCTTCGTATAACTCTATGTTTTTCAGCCCCGCGTTTGCGGTAAGTATTACCGCGTCTCTATCTATTTCCTGGTGAGTACCAATAAACAAATGCTGATTGGTGGGCCATGTAGGCTGAGTCTCCGGGCTGGCAGGGTACAAATCACTTTTCTGTCAACTTAATGACCTACAGAAGGCTGAAGATGCTGAAGAACCACAGGCTATTTCGCGGGCTCGGGGAGATTCTCATGGATCTACCCTGGACCGAACACGACAATCACTTTCGCGAACGGGACAGCTTTCACGGTGTTTAACAAGGCCGCTGTCATTGGTGACTTTTCTGGAGTTACAGATGGAAATTCGTTCTATCAGAAATTCTGTATGGGGACACCAACAACGACTGTAAACTCGACAACAACATCGGTAGCGACCCCTTCTACCACGTCTTCAGCCACCTCTACGGCGGTTGTATCAGCCATTGGTTATCCATTGCCCGTTGTCATTAGTTCTGACCAGCAAGTTTCAGGATACTATCTCCCAAATTCTACTGTGGCAGTTCTGTCCATGATTAGTTTTGACCCGACTGTTCCTATCCAATTCCAGCAGGTCGTGCAGAAATTCCTGGCCTCTGCTAAAGCAGACGGGAAAAAAAAACTCATTGTCGACTTGGCTGCCAATGGCGGCGGTCTGATCCTGCAAGGTTACGATACTTTTAGAATGCTATTTCCTCAAATAGTGCAAGATGGGAATACCCGCTTTAGAGACACTCCGGAATTTATGGCACTTGCTCAGACTATCTCAAGCGGGCTTCCGCCCGGGTTTGACCCATATACTTCGGACGATGACCTCTTAATCAGTGCGTGGGAAACAGTCCCAAACTACAGGTTCGATTACAACATCATGAATGAGCCATTCTCCAGCTTCAACGAGAAGTTTGCGCCACACCAGTATTACGGTGATAATTTCACCAACATCATTCGATGGAACCTCAATGATAATTTGACAACTAGTAAGATGCAAGAACGAACAACGAGGGATCTGCTCACAGTTTTGCAGTCAATGAGACTTACGGCATGGGCGAATATATCACGGGCTATGGACCGAGAGCAAATTTTACTCAGCCGTTCGCGGCCGATGACATTGTAATGATCTATGACGGTTACTGCGCTTCAACATGCACCATATTCAGCGAGTTTATGCGAACCCAGGCTAGCGTCAAGTCAATAGCTTATGGTGGACGTCCTAACACCAACACTTCCACCCCACTAATCCAAGCTATTGGGGGCGTCAAAGGGACGAACAACTACGGCTACAGTTATATAAGCTCTCTAGCCAGTGCAGCACTTGAACTGAATCCCACCACAATCCAAAGTGCTTTTCTGAGGCCCCTAACCAACATGCTTCCCTACGAGCGAAGTACAGGCAAGTTTCTGCGGCTCTGCCAACAGTCAAGAACGAGGACAAAACTAAAAAGTAACAGATACTTCGATCAATGTCCGGGACAACATTCTTCCTGGCAATCTAGGCGACGGCACACCTGCACAATTCATTTATGAGCCCGCTGACTGTAGGTTGTTCTACACCCCAGCTATGATGGCCAATGTGACTGCAATTTGGTGAGTTGAACTCTCGAGCAAATTCTATATCTCGGATTATGCTCCAATATTCGGTTCGGTCACTCTGCTACCATATTTATGTGGACTTTTTTGTATTATAACATTGCTGAACGTGCTAACTCTGGCCATGTAGGGAAGCTGCTGCACTGGCCGCGTGGGGAGGCGGAAATTGCAATGCCGGTAGCTTGCCCTCCTCGAATATCAGCTCTCGTAGAGGACTAGGCTCGAGAGAGGAGGCGATGAGAGTCACTGAGGTTGTGGATATCCATTTATCGACTCCATTAAGGAGCGAAGAATGGGTAGCCAAATTCGCTATGAGCTTCCCTAAATGAAGCCATAGTAGGGTTGTTTAGAGAGTTCAAAACCGGAAACGTTTAGTATAC